GGGTAGGTGCGTGGGACAACGCCAAGCAACAGTTTAAACTTGCCTTTTATGTTATGGAACGCCGTACGCCTTGGCCTACACACTTCGCGCACGCGCTGAAACGCGCGCCGCGTGTAGTTAGCTGTGACGCTCCCTACCGGAACCGTGCGCCGAATTGGGCACAAAGCGGCAAATGGTACTCCAGACATGCTGTTGCGCACGCATTGGCACGATGTCATTTAGCTTGTGGCCATAGTCTCTCTACAGACAGAAACCCAAGGGGGCGAAGTCCATTGCGAGCGCGAAACTCCCTTCCGCGCATGCGCACAGTACCATGGTCGTCGTTTTTTTGGGGGCGCAGGGTGGGCGTGACGTTCTAGCTACAGCAGATCCTCTCTCCCACGCTTATGTGCCTAGAATAAAAGCTACAAGGAGATGGCAATATCCTCGACGAAGGTTTTCGCTGTGATATTATTTTGCCGCGGAATAGTAGCGGAAGTCACGACGTGCAGCCTGGACGCGGACGACAAAGCGGAGAAGGTGGACGTACTGATTCTGGGTGCAGGGATCGCGGGAATATCTGCAGCCAGGGCCTTGGAGGTGAACGGCGTAACTGATTTCCTGGTTCTGGAGGCCACCGACCGCGTCGGAGGTCGCATACGCGAATACGACGGAACGACCATCGAGGTGGGGGCCAACTGGATCCACGGACTGGACCCCGAGGACCCTCAACACCACCCCATCTGGAGAGAGTGGACCAGGTGCGACCCAGACGGTCCGGGAGGGAGCATTACTCCTGACTTGACCGCCGTATACGACGCCTCCGGAAATCAGCTCGATATTGAGGACCGAAACGCCCCCTATCTTTCCAGACTGGGTGTGTTTCAGAGCGCCTTTGATTCAGCTTTCGAGCTAAGAGTCTCTGTAGACACTTCAGTGAGGGACGGTCTTTCCACCAGCTGTTGGGAACCAATTAGCCCCCTAGATAACTTTATCGAGTGGTACAATATCGATTTGAGCTCTGGACTTGCACCTGAGAATATATCTCTACTGATTGGTTCCCTCAATACAGAGGACACTCAGTTTACCGAGTCGGGTGAAGAGACGGATGATTATCTTGTGGTGGATGAAAAAGGTTAATCTTACGTTGTCAAATGTCTTGCAAGAGATTTTATTAATGACAAAGTGAAGCTGAATTCCACAGTCACGACTATGAAGTTAGCAGATGATTGTGTGTGTGCTGAGGTAAAGGATGGTAAAATGTACTGTGCAAACTATAGTATTGTGACTTTTAGCACCGGAGTGCTTCAGGCAGCAATTCGTGGTGACCAAAACTCTGTTAAGTTTGAGCCTCCCCTTCCTCGGTGGAAACAAGACGCAATCAACCACATAACCCCTATCGTTTATGGGAAAATTTTCCTGGTCTTTCCTACTACATTTTGGAATGAAATTGACGGAGACCAACAACTCCTGGGCTATGTAGCGGATGAGAAAGGCTATTACGGACACTACATATTGGACAAAAATCGCCCGAACACTATAACAGTTGATGTGAGTGGTAATCTGGCCATCAAAATTGCGACACAGAGTCAGGAAGAAACGGTCAATGAAGTCATGGCCATTCTCAGGAAGATCTTTAACAACGTCACTCTACCAGAGCCTGAAAGTGTTGTCATATCAAGATGGCACCTCGATCCCCTCTTCCTTCACTCCTACTCTGACTATGGACCTGGAGTACCAGAGAGTGTTTTTGACGATCTTCTCAAACCTGTGAATGGACGACTCTACTTTGCAGGGGAAGCTCTCAACAGCAGCAACTACGGAAATGTACAGGGAGCATATGGGACAGGAGTGTATGCTGCACAGCAGATTACAGGGACAAGCAACAGTGCTGGTGAGTATTTAATAGTGCTTGCTGTGGCCTGTATGACTGCACCTTTCATTATGAGCCCATTCCTTATAGTTTCATCAGAGCTGTAGTTGTAAACATGTCATTTTGTTGAAAGGACAAATGAACACAAACCTTATTATATTCCACAAGGTTTGAAACTTATGAGGAGCACAATAATTATGGTAGTGTGGTTATCTGTACTAAAGCCTGTTTTCTTTCACTTTACCCCCGGAAGCCATCATTTTTTTTACAAGTACCATGTACTTTACTCGTGGCATAATAGTGACGTACAGCTAACTTTTGACTGGTAAGGGTTCAGGCTCATTGACGCATATTATTGTTAGACCCAGAAGTTTGCAATGATCCTGTTGGTGTTGAAATCGGTTCCAGGTGAAGTCTGATAGACTTTAGTGTGGGGATCAGTAACCTGTTCAGTCTTGGTCCTTCCTTTGCAGGTGTCCCGCAGGCAACTCTGGTCTGTGTGTTTGTGGCTGGTGTGTTGAGTCTTCTCTCCGTGGTGCAATAAGGCAGACAAGTATACACAACTATATATATATGTATATATATAATATGCTCACAGACATTGTAAGCCGTAGAGTTAGTAGCAGGCACAAAACTGTGTGGCGAATTCTAAGGTTTTTTTATTTTTATAACATCACTTTATATATGAATACTCTGGGATGGCCTCCACCATGGTGCGAAGGATCTCAACACATGTGCACTAGGATCGACAATGCACGCACACAACTAGACCGCAAATGTTCACACAAGTCTCAGTGGTACAGAGATGGCTTCCGTGCCAGTTTAAGATCAAGATTATCAGTGTTTATCACTATTGCTGATCCTAGGTGCATGGTTTAGAGCATCGCTCTATGTACAGGGAAGGGGGGTGCTTCATGCACGCGTTGCACCTTCCATACGCTGATGGATGGGCAGTTTGAACTCCTAATCGTGCCTCCTCGTTCGAGCAGACTAACGGACTGACGCACCATGAGGAGAACATTGCCGTGGAAGAACACAGGATAAGGGGGACAAGTATTTTGCCCATATTTTATGCATATAGCCAGATGCAAAATGGCAACGCTAAAATTATATATACATACAAAGTCAATGGTATAAAAACGATCCTATGCACAAAGAAATAAAGCTATGATGTATTATTATCATCGTCAGGCTGTTTGTCCATTGTTGTCTTTACCACTGTAGCAAAGGAAATGGATCTCTTTAACTTGTGTCTGGTGGCCACTCGTACATGGTGCCCTCCAGCTGGTCTTCTGAACTGACTGGCATACTCTGCGGTCTTCCCCCTAGATACCTTCTGTGTTACAGCGAGAGGGTAATGTGATAGTGTGCTACATTTCTATAGCACAGAGTATGAAGAACTTATGGATACCGTATTTTTGAATATGTGACACTTTGGGAACTGTGAAATGCAGACATTATTCCTTTTGACTATTGTATTAGTATGGGGCAGAATCATGTGTCCTTATATCCAAGATCACTGAATGACCACAGCTTAAGTCTGCTAATGAATTCGAAGGGGCTTGGTGCCAACAATGTTGCAAAGGACCGTAGGTACTTAGTGGGGCTTAAATTACGTTCGCGCTGAAAAGCATGCAGAAGTAGATAATGAGGAGGGTGGTACTATTCTCAGCGTATGTAAAGTATGCGTAGAAATGTATGGGATTATGCATAATATGTGTAGCGAAAAAACTTCGCAGCGAATTTGAACGGGGTAAGCGCTGAACGAACCGGAGTGTAAAGCGCTACATTTTGATACCAAGCGTGGCAGCTGTGACGGTGCTGGAATCGGACCGTTATTCTAGATTTTCAAGGTGCATTCTCAGCGCGAACGTACTTTAGTTTGCTAATAAAGAGGTTTAGTGCTCGGTATATAATACTAATCAATAGGATTAGTCGGCTAATGAAGGGGCTTACCTTTCCATTAGCAGCTCTTGTGAATCTGAACCTCTGAATGACCTCTGTGAGAGTCAGTTTGACACAGTTGATAGTGAGTCTCATGCCCACACAGCTGTGAGCTCCCACGCCAAACGGCAAGAAGGCGGGGCCTTGTGCAGCAACTGGGCACTTGGCTGTCTTGCCATTTGTAGAGTGGCGCCGTGGGCTGGTGAATCTGTGCAGGGGACGGCAAAATATATCGCTCTTGAGATTACAGCACTGATTAAATTCCACTGTGTAAGGCACTTACCTGTCAGGGGAGAAGGAGTTGGGGCTGTTCCAGTGGGTTGGGAGGTGGTGGATGAAGTGAAGTGGAACCTCAACTCTAGTCCCCTTTGGGATCGTGGCTCCCTTCACCCCACAGTCCTTCACACACACTCTGGTCAACCTGCAATGTACCTTAACTTAGAGTCAGAGAATCTACTTTTTTACATCACCCCCGCCCGTGTGGCGGGTACGAGGCACTCACATCGAAAAGTAGCTTCCAGGATGAAATTCAGGAATGGCTATTGCTAGAAACAGCCAACAGTATGAAAGAACTGAGATTCTAGAGAGCAATGGCCGGGAAGACTGACTGCCATGATTCAAGCCTTTGCTGTGAATAGTTGCTGCTCTAGTGTGCATGCATTAGCTCCTAAAACCAGTAAGAAGGCGTGGAAAGTATGGACAAATAATGGTGGAAGTTGAGGTGTCTGGGAGGCAAGACAGATGCCACTCACTTCATGCACACCAGCCTCTGCACATTGGTTGGTGGTAATAGCCCCACTACTGATAGCCGTTGTCTGAGTATTATTTCGATTTTCGAGCCTGTTAATTTTCACTAACTTTGGAGTGAGAGAGCAGAGTCTCAGTGTCTCCTGCACGACAGCATCCAGGAACTCCACACTGTCCACCGCCTCATAGAACAATGTCTGTGTGCACATACATATGGTACTAACAAACAACACACAACATGTATATACCATTTCTACTGACTGTTACAGGCGTACATCTGTACTGAGTATGCTATGGTGTATGGAGTCATCAGATTGTAGCTAAATTAGCCACACTTGTCACTGTTAGTACAAGGGTGTGATTTGAAAATTTGTGTCATTGAGATGACTAATTGGGCTTCAACAAATTGCCATGGCAATTTCCCCATTAGTCCATGGCTCCTATTGTCTGTCCCTGTTCTGACAGGTAGGTATACAACCAAGATCCAAGGATAAGAGCTTAGTTGGCAATTTGCTTGGCTACTCCTGCTACTCACCTGTCTACATGGCACACCCTTTATTATTGTCACTGAATTAACACAATTATGTACATTGCTATATATGGAGCTAGGTATAGTCACCACAGTCACAACTATAGATAAATGCACAGCAAACGAGAGTGTTTCGAGTGCTATATTACGTATTGCACGCCCTAATGGAATTTTCATCGTGTTTGTTTTCATTACCACATTCCATCCGCCATCTGGATATGTGTTGTGCAAAGTAATGCACCTACTATATAATTATAGCAGGATAGAGCACCTGGTAACTAGCATACATGACATGGCACATCGTTCACTTCTAGCACACCGACAACACAGTATAATGTGCTTTTTTTGCCCAGGGTGATAATTGAATGTTGAGAACCCGAAAATCTTCAAAATATATATTTTTATCTTCCTGAATGCTGGTTATGGACGAACCTCTCTCTGAACGGAGGTGCTGAGTTCGCTGTATAGTTTCTGCTGGGTTATGGGGTCGGCTGCCAGGTGGACTGTGGCAGCAGAGAGTGTGGTGAGGATGGAGTGGTAGCCGAGGAGAAGGATGAGGAGAGTGTAGGACACTGTCTGGTCCTCTGGGAGAGATTGGTCCAGTAACACCTGGAGGTAGTTCCTCTATGGTGAGCAGGAAGAAGGGAGGGAGAAAGGGGAGACAAATGGAGGGAGGAGGGAGGAATGAATGAGGAGAGAGGGATGAAGAGAGGGTCAGGGAGAGAGGAAAACAAAGTATAGAGAGGAAAGGAGGGAGGAGAAGGGACCACACATAACAAGATATTTCAGATGGAACAGCTCTCCCTACAAACTAGTTGGCTCCAGTGCACAAACCAAACTGGGAGTTTACATAGTCCACCAAACTATGTCCACTGCAATTTGTAGACATACAAATTGTAACAGGCGTGATGACAAAAACAGATCTAGTGCGTGAGAAAAAGACAGAGGGCTGAATTCGGTACAAATTGCAGGAGTTAGTGGCATAATTGGTCAGATTTCCCCTTTATGGCTGAGAAAAAGTGGAATGTCAACTGTGCCCTCGTTTAAAGGCCTATACTCCCACTGACGTACAGTCATGATGGATCTTAAGTAATTGGTCAATATAAACAGAACCCTAGAAACTACTAATCTGTATATACCCTCTATACCATCACATTTATATATGGGGATGTACCTTGATTCCTGTGACTTGATGGTATTGCTTGGCTTCGCAGATTGCCGACGACACCACACCAACTAGATTATCGAATTCCTCCTCGGCCTTGGCTCGTCTGTTTAGCACCTTCATTGCCTCATCAAAACATGGGATGGAGCCTGTGTATATACACACACATACACAGGGAGACACAGCAGTTTTGCAACAATGAAGTACTGATAGTATTGTACATACACCGTGTTGTGTGCTGAGAGCAAACCATCATGTGCTAGAGTTGAGCAGTGTTGTAATTTGATCCCTGCACATGGTGAGTTTTAAGTCATAAGCACTGATGACTGATACACTAATGCTACGTGCTTTGTGTAAAAACTGCATCAGAGCTTACTTGTATGCCGACTTAAGAGCAGTGCAGAAAAAAAGTGATTTTAAGCCCGGTGGTGTCTCTGATAACAGACTACACCATCTTGTGCTCAATGAGCCATTCTAAACCTTGCCGCCTCTAATGTGTTGACTGCTGTGTTGCCTACGTCACACGTAAGTGAGTGTGAAATATTTGTTGGAGCTTGACTTTTCCCTATTGAGCTTTCCTTGTGAATGACACGCACCGCAACTTGTAGTCGCGGTAAACAGCTTTCTCACAAACACGTAGCAATTGCATTTTACTCTCTCTCTCACCTCTCTCTGCCTGTCTCTCTCTCCCTCTCACCTCTCTCTCTGTCTGTCTCTCTCTCCCTCTCCCCCTATTTTGTGCGTCTCCTTAAAATGCATTACACATGTCTCCACCTGTCTCACCAAACAGTGCTCTGAACACAAATTCCACCGTTCCACTTCTGTTGACTACGGTGAAGTAGTTCTGGAGTGCAGATGCCACCTCCTCTCTGTGTTTGCCACTGGACAGCCCTACTATACCCAGGATCACTTGCAGACAGTAGGGCTCATAGACACTGGTTGGAAGGAGGAGCAGGGAGAGAGAGAGGGACGAGAAGGGAGGGAATGAGAGAAGGATCATGGGAGGAATGCGACAGAATTATAATGGATATGTAGAACGTATAAGCTTGGAATTGAACATCATTTCAGGAGATGGAATAAGTAGTCAAACCAATACAGTATAGTTTTGCTTCTACCTTACACACAAGTGGACTATATATGCATCGACCCATGTAAAAAATGGAAGGCCACCCACCCACCGTACATACAAAGGGCTAGATCAAAGATATGCCCTGCATGCCCATGATCGAGCTCGAGGTGCTTACCTACACGTCATTAGTAAGTCTCTGACAACCAATGGTCTCACCTCCATATATCCACAGAGGGACGAGACAGGCTGCTCTCCAGTGTCTCCAGCAGCAGCGTGTCAAAGTTTTGTAGCACAACGGGTACCATCTAATAACAGACGTCGACAACAGCAGTGGCCTACACTCATTGTACACACTTTGCATCTACGTTATCCACAGCTAATACATATATATATATACCACGCACACAACATAATTATTGCCACACACGTGTACATACGTAGGTACGTATACCTACACAGAGCTTACATGGCTACAAACATGTTCCTAGTATTCAAACCATCTTGTACTCACAGATGCCTTGTTTTGTCCTTGTGTGTGTATGTGTGATACAAGGAACCTTCTCTAAATAATTATGTACACCCGGACACTTCCTCTAATTAGATTCTCCCCAACAACAGTGCAATTAGGACACATTCTTCTGTCCCATTAGTGATGGGATTAAAGGGGTTCCAACACTTGGCTTTGCTTTATTGATAATAATGCGTGATTACCTCAACTACATACAAGCAATAGGAGTGCTGGAAATGACTAAACATGTCAGAGGGGCACTCAAGTAACTCGATATCCTGAATATAGGTGTGCCAACCAAGAGTGTGGGGGAGGCTCAAATTGCAGATCATTCACAAAATTACTGTTTACTATGTCCCAGTAATGTTATCCGTACTGTGATTCTCGGAAAACCTTTTATCGGTGAATTCTGTCGAAATCCCATCAGTAGGTATACTACGCAACGAACACCACACATTTTGGGCGACGGATTGTAGGAGTCATACGCACTGGGGCATACAGATAGAGAGAGCATGCGAGAGTGTATATACACGCATTTGCATTTTTTCACGAAATAACACGATTGCATTTCCATTTCTTGTATTTAAGAGTTACATGTGTAAAACATTACGGTATGTTCATGCTCTCGAAAACTGCACAACTAAATAATATCATTAATTAATAATGATTAGGAGGCTCGATTCGCACACCAATTATGTGGCACTATATTGAATAACCAGTAATTCAGCAGTTGGCGGTCAAGACAGAAAAATCACCAATTCTGTGTTTACATGCAGTAAGATGCTACACGTGTGTGTACATGTAATGTTAATTTCACCAGGCATGATTTCCTAGGCAAATGTTAAAAAAGATGAAAGGTCATTTTGGTTGTACTGTGGCTACTCGCTCACAAGTTTAAAAAGTCTTGGTAGGAGAAGAATTGAGCGAAGTCCTTTCCTGGCCTTCAGGGTGTCGTCATTCTCAAATCGCTGCTGTTGCTGCTGCTGTTGTTGCTGTGGTAGTGGTGATAGCACAGCTGGCAGGCCGTGGACCCTCAGAATTGACCTCAGGTAGTGCTGGGTTGGCATTGAGTGATTTTTCACAGCACACCAATATTTCGTCTCAAGACCGACTATCTTACTGGATTATTATGCATGGGTTAGAAATTAATTTTGTTATCCATGCTTGGTATGTGTCAATTAGTAACTGGTTGGTATTGTTTCATCGAGCGAATGAGTATGGAGATGAATGCAGTATCATCTTAATGAGGTAATTGTAGTGTTCTTATATGGCCCAAGTGGTTAAACTCGTTTTATCTGTGCTTATTAATGGTGAAACACAACAATTTCAATCTGTACTGCAGTGTTTTCCAAATGTGTATTCATTATGCGTTTCAGCCATAATATAGTTACACAAAGAGACATCTGAAACAATCTGCAAAGATTGACTCACAGTGCTATTGTACCTGGTGGTTGTGGTGAACGGTGGTGAATGAGTTTTGTTCCGAGCTCAGTACCATATCCACTAGTATTGGGTCAGTCACAGCAACCACAGGTCTAGTTCCCCTATAGAACCTGTAGGAATAGCAACAGGCAGCAGACCTATAGTGAGCTAGTGGATGAGAGAAGGGAATAATGATGGACGATTAATGAGCAACTGAATGTGTAATTCTGTTCATGCAGTAGACAAACAACAGATGCTGTGTACCACCCAAATGTCTTGCGTCAAGTCTGCGTGCATTAAGACGGGCATGGTGTGAATAATGATGTAAACCAAACACGTAGCTACAGGTATGCATAGTAGAGGCTGTTAGTGCAACCCCTCCAATAACAGTGTGTGGCATTCTTGGACATGGTAAACACTAAAATGTGCAGCATTTTATATAGTAAGGCTGCTGGAGAATTATACTTATATATACCCAAAGATTGGTCCGTATGTCTTGTAGAACTTGTGGTACGTCTGCATCTCGCCCTGGAGTGCAACATTGAGGAATTCATAACTATGGAGATGTGAATTCACTTGACTCACTGCCGCATCGCAGTGTTTTACCGTAGATGTGGTTTTACATGGTCTAGCTATGTAAAACCAGCAAGAATGCTGCAACATGGCATTCGCGACGCTGGGCGAGCGCACGACTGATCGTACCCGTGTGAGGAGTTCCAGAGAGTTGCCCAGTAAGATTCTGGGATTAGGTCCCTTCACTCCCGTCCCTGCGAAGACCAGGTACGGAGAATGGACGAACCTGCAACGTGCAGAGATCGTATAGCAGTAGAACACACGCACTCTGCAGCGGCGGCATAAACGGCGGGTAGCTAGCCATACACTGCAGAGAGCTGGCTAGATAGCCAAACAACTTAGCAGCTAACCTGTAGTAGAGGTAGCAGAGAAAACCGAGCAGAACTGAAACAGTGATAAGTACCAGAGGCCGCGTTGCCTCCTCCACCAACGATCTCTGCGCCATTCTGGCCGATGAACTGACCTTAGGGCTGGGCAGCTTGTTTACTAGCAAGTTATTGTGCGTGCGCTTTGGAATGTACAACGCGCGCATGCGTATTGGAGGTATCGGGGGTCGCCGCGGGGGCGCGCGGGGAGGCACGAGCTCACACTTTTACGTGTGTATGCAGTGTCTCGGGGGCCGGCGTAGCGCTGGGGACATCGTGGGTGAACCTCAGATGGCTCAATACGACAGAGAAAACGTGGCTAGCTCCCACGGTGGACGGGGAGGGGGCGGCTATCGTGGACGTGGCGGCTGGGGCGGAGATTTCCGAGGGGGCGGAGATTTCCGAGGTCGCGGGGGGTCGAGGGGGCTTTAGGCCCCGACCGGGGGTCGGTTACAAAAAGAGCTACAGCGACGAAGTGAGGGAAGAGGTGCAAGAGCTCTTTGGGAAGAAGTTCACCTTCAGGGACGAGGACGAGGAATGGCACCTGCCGCCAGCAGAGGGTATGTTCCAGGACAAGCCGTTTGCCATCAAACGCCTCCTGAAGCTGAAAGAGCAACTCAACACGACCAAAGAGAAGCTGAACAACAAGGAGATAATCAGTTGGCACCGACACACCTATTTCACCAACTGTTCGGGTATCGTGGTACCGGCCGTCCGTCGAGACTTTAACCCCGAGATGTGCACACAGGGCTGGGCAAAGTTTCACGAGATCCTGGTCCAGTTTGGGTCCCTGGTGTCCGAGGCCACCACCAAACTGCACTCGGTCCACCTGTGCGAGGCTCCAGGAGGGTTCGTGGCATCACTCAATCACTTCCTCAAGACACACCGCATGGACTGTGACTGGAACTGGCGGGCCATGACACTCAACCCTTACTATGAGGGTGAGAGTCCATTTAGACCCCTTGTATATACCCACACTGCGGTACAGTCTGGTTGTTTTTGATATATTTATCCTTCACTTTCTCTCCTTGTTTTCCCCCCTCTATTCCTGCTTTTCTTTCCCGTTCTGCTTCCCCTCTCTTCATCTCCTCTCTCTTTCTTTCTCTGTTCTCTCCCGTCTCCTTCATTTCTCTTTCACTCTTCTTTACTCTCCTTTTCTGTCCTTCACTCTCCTTCCTTCTCTCTCTCAACCCTCTCCTCCTCCTCCTCCTCCTCTTCCTCCTCTTCCTGTTTATATACCAGCTAATGGCTACCATGCCCTGATAGACCAGGACAAGTTCATGTCAGAGACGTGGGACCACTGGTTTGTGGGCGGGGACAACAGTGGGGACGTGATGGTGTGGAGGAACATGGTGGAGATGAGATCCTGGGTCAAGGAAGAGATTGGAGATGTTCACTTGGTGAGCGAGACCTGCATTCTGATGCTTTTTGCTATTTCATCCCGCGGCATGGAAGAGTGTAGATTTCAGTCGCTACATTAATTTGGGTCATAAACATACATCGGCTTGTTGTCACAACTAGTTAGGCTCGCTTTTCTCTTTAATTAGCCAAGTAAATATTATTGTGCACCTGGTGTTGCTTATATCACCAGTCTAGTGGTGTTGCATGTACTTATGCAAGTATTCAGTGGTATTGGTTTTCCTATTGACTCAACTTGAGGCCATAGGGTTTGTTGAAGTCGATAAAGGAGAGGTAATGTGGTAGTGCCGTGCAACAGAGAGACACACTCAGATAACCTTGCCTGACACAACATGGTACACGTGTAGGAATGTGGTGGTGATTTCCCAAAGAAAACCTGCGTTTGTTTTACATGCCGTGGTGGGTAAACCTGGAGCAAGCCGCCGACTTTTGTGTATTATAATAATATGTGACAAAGTGCAGAAGCACTAAAATTCTCTGTGTGTAAAAGGTGATGGCAGTCTGAACTGTGCAGACAACCCTGTAGCCCGGGCTACTAATGTTCTATGTGCGTACATAATGTTGTGTCAGGTGACGGGTGACGGGAGTCTGAACTGTGCAGACAACCCTGTAGGCTGCCCGGGCTACTAATGTTCTATGTATGTATGTTGTGTCCAGGTGACGGGTGACGGGAGTCTGAACTGTGCAGACAACCCGGGGGAGCAGGAGGCAATGGTGGCCCAGCTCCTCTACTGCGAGGCCGTCTCTGCCCTCCTCCTCCTGAGACCTGGTGGCTCCTTCATTCTCAAGACCTTCACCACCCTGGAGAGCCACACCCTCTGCCTCATGTTCCTTCTAGCCTGCTGCTTCAATGAGGTACACACCCTATAAATGCTCCTTATACTAGGATGCTGCTTCAATGAGGTGTACACACCCTATAGATGCTCCTTATACTAGGATGCTGCTTCAATGAGGTGTACACACCCTATAGATGCTCCTTATACTAGGATGCTGCTTCAATGAGGTGTACACACCCTATAGATGCTCCTTATACTAGGATGCTGCTTCAGTGGCACACTATACCTTTCCAAAGAATGAGGTGGCCTAAACTTTGATCCTTGATAAGATCGAGAGAGCAGTGCCTAGGGAGTAGCTCCGAAAATATGGTGGCCTTAACATTCGTACTTTTTGCAAGCAAGTGAGGTGAAGGACAGGCTAACTAACCTTCCTGAATATATTGACAAAAGCTAGAGAGTGCAGTGCAAATCATCATAGGGAGCGACTGTGGATAATATGGTGGCCTTAACTTTCGTACTTTTAGCAAGCAAGTAAGGAAAACATACGGGCCAACTAACCTTTCTGAATACATTGAAAATGGATGGAGAGTGCAGTGCAAATAATCCTAGGGAGTAATTCTGAAAAATATGGTGGCCTTAACATTCGTACTTTTAGGAAGCAAGTAAGGAAAACATACGGGCCAACTAACCTTTCTGAATGTACATTGAAAATGGACGGACAGTGCAGTGCAAATAATCCTAGGGAGTAATTCTGAAAAATATGGTGGCCTTAACTTTCGTACTTTTAGGAAGCAAGTAAGGAAAACATACGGGCCAACTAACCTTTCTGAATACATTGACAATACCGAGAGAGTGCAGTGCAAACCTTTAGTGTACAGGTTCCTATATATGTACTACTCATGTATCACCTTGTAACTATGGTGACATTCATTGTGTAAACAGTTGCATGTCTTCAAGCCGGTGACAAGCAAGGCAGGCAACTCAGAGCAGTACGTCATCTGTATTGGGTTCAAGGGAACGGCTGTTCTAACTCAGGACCACCTCAAGAAATTGAGCACTGCCTATGGTAAGGACACCTATTGTACTACTTGGTGTATTTACCATGGTGATTTGGTTTAACTATTATGGTGACTACTGTACTACCACAGTACATACGTAACACTGGTGTATTTACTCTGGCTGCCTGAGCTCCACCTCATCTGTTGAAAAACGAAATGCACTAAAGTGCAAACCCTCGGCGCACTCAAGCGTATTGAACCCACACGCAAGCACATGTAGGGTTGGACTACACGATTTACTTGTGGTCTCCCGCCAGCTTTCTGAAGGTCTGACACGGGCTATGTAGCATAGGCACCACGAGACTCAACAATCACCCTCTGTTTTAGATTCTGATGCCTCTATGGTAGACAAACAGTGGAAGGCGCAGTAATAATGAGATCAAGCCCAATATACCTTGAGTAAAGAGTAGCATTCGTACCACAGGTGAAATTTCGCACTTGCGTTCAGCTCGCCAGTAATGCTAGGGTGTATAGGTGGTTTTATGGAGTGTGTAATATACTAGTTTACTGTCTGTGTGCAGGAGATACTCTGCCTGAGACGGCCATGTTCTCACTGTCTTCTCTGCCACAGAGTTTCCTCTCACAGGTCAGTGGACACACCCCCTCCTGTTTCCCCCACTTCTCCCCCCATCAATGAAAACCCACTTGTCACACACATGTAAATACTGTTGCCAAAACAAATGTCGCAGATGTACAATTTTTCAGAGAAATATTTTATGGATTGCTCTTCCACAAACAGTCTCTGCCAACATAATTTTGACTGAAAAAATGACTCTCAAAAACTCCAATCACACAAAATATCCCTCTTTTTCCTTCTGCACATCCTCTCTCTCCTTCCACTCCCCTCTCTCCTGCGCCTCACCAGATGACAGAGTGCTGCGGCCAGTTCAGCAAGTACCAGATGGACACCATCGAGGAGAACCTCAGACTCTATGACTGTATGAAAGCCTCTGAGAAAAATTTCATACAAGAGGTATATACGTATAATTGAAGGAGTCAGAGTCAGAGTGGGCCAACCCTCAATATACAACTCTTGCGGTTTTTCCTTGAAATAATGTCCTTATAGAACAAAAACCGGCAAGAGTTGTATATTGAGGGTTGCTCTGGCTCTGACCCCTTCAATTATACATACGTAGTTTATGTACTAAGTATAAAGACCTTGTAGCTGTATGATTTGTAATATAAAGGTGGCTTGATTCAAAACACACCTAAACAAACATGTATTCATCGTGCTACTCTAGTGCCCTGTTGCATGCAATGTTCATACCCACTTCATCTGGAGGGGCAAGGAACTTCTATTATCTTTTAGCGTGAAACTCGGTCCTACATGAACTGCATACAGGACCACATGTATGTAATGTACCTGGGTGCATGGGGTTATGCACTTAGTTACCATGGCCGCTCTGCGATGTGATTGAAAGCTAGTAAATGATGTAAATAGTTACCGAAACCGTCGTGATGAGTGGGTGGGGTCTGGGCACAATATAATATGTTGGTTAATGTTATGCATATTGACTGTGTGGTCTATTCCGCAGGTGAAGGAGCTGACTTGTGATACGTATAAGACCAAGTGTTTGCTGAAGGAGCTGCCGAGAGGAAAGGCTGTTGTCCAGAATATTCTCTTGGTATACTTCCGTATAAATCTCCCATGTTTTTCCGTATCCACGTTTCATTGTTTTTCACTCCCCTTTATCCATCCTCTCATTGTGATCTCGCCCCCTCCTCCCTCTCATCTCCTCTCTCACTTGTCTTGCCTTTTCTCTTTACTTGGAGTATGTTCATCGTACGTGCCTTTCTATATACCTCGTACAATAGTATATACCTTGTAGTTGAAACAGTGCAGTCACAACATGTGAAGGCGTTAGCTGTTCAGTTTACATTATGTGCATGTCATACTGTATCTCCTCTGCTCATCACTGGAGGTGTCCTCATTTCCCTTCCCCCTGTCGCTCCCTCTTCCCTGCCTCCCTGCCCAGAATGGCACCCAGTTGTACAGTGTGGGGCCCACTGCAGGGAGACCCAGCCCAGCAGTGGCTGCACCGTCGCAGCACCGAGTCGTTCCTGACTCGCATGGAGCAGAGGAGGAAGACGTGGTCAGAGAGGATGCTGGCAGACCAGGAGCCTCTCTCCAAACAGACCAGGACCTCCATTACCGGTCTGGTACCCTCCCACAGCCACCTGAAACTACATGTCTACCCAACTTCTCCTTGAGCCCGTATTAAACCTACAATTGAAAAATAGGCTAAACCTAGTATATACAGCGTCACTAGACCCAGTGCAGTGTAACTAAACCCTTGCAGCTGCACATACCTACATACCTTTTTTCAAAAGAACTATAGAGCTAGTAGCTCTTTTAAACTCCCACTCAACAAGGAGCATAGTTATAATCCCTACAGCATGTTAGAAAAGTAAATCCTTACTGGTTCGTGATTCTTATACGAAGTAATAACCGGCAAAATGCATTTCCGTAGGGGAAAGTGGCACAGCAATCCAACATGCTTTGCGGTGCATGGGATACGATGGCAGTGACAGCAAATCCATCTCCGATACATTTCTCCTCGAGATGCACACCGATGAAGTCCAGTGGACTAAGGCAAGGCCACTCTGTCCGATGTTATGTACAACAGAGGGATTGTATCGCGGGCCCAGGGAGTGTTGTATATAGCACCTACAACGTATAACTTGTCTCCTTTCCCATTCTGTACTTACCATCCTCACTTTTCTCCTCTCTGAAATTCGAAGGACGGTTACACTTGATTGTATTGACTCTGTATATAGGGTCCAACAAACAAGCCTATAAGTCAACAGGAGCTGAGGTCTCTGGATGGAAAAGGTTTCACAAAGGTTCAGCCATTACTGTAGAGGCAAAAACTGTTCATCGAAATAGCACAAGTGTGTTGTGCATGGTTGCTAGAAAACATGCATATTGAAAATGGCGTGCGTAAGTAAAGAACACACAACATGGTTTGGAGAGGAGATCGCTAAGGGAGTCTATGTTTGCATGTTATTCACTGTCAGTGGTGCATTGTGTAAACTTCATTCAGGTTGAAAACTCCAGGTTCTGTAGGCCTGACATCTTGAAGAAATTGACCGATGCCGTGTCCAGTGCACAGGTGTGTATATAGCAATGTATGTAGTACTTACTTACACATGATGAACACATGCAATAACATGTGCTCATCAACGCGGTCAAAGCAGTATAGGCAAACAACTCAAGTACACCTCTATTTCTCAAAGGAAGAAAGAGCTGCCCGGGGTGTGATTTTAACCCTCGACACTCTGCAGTCTAGGCAAACGCTCTATATACGAGCTGAGCTACATACATAACTGTGCAATGGTCATTTTGCTTGTTGTCACCCCAGATCTTCCAGCCTGCTAACGTGGTGGAGTTCACTCACATGGCCAGCCACGTGCTCCCCTGGACACGCCCTCTTCTCCTCCTCCCTCCATCCCTTCTATTTCACTCCCAACGCCGTCCACTTTGCAGCCCTCGACAGTCTCACAGACTTTACTAGCAAGGTCAGTCTGCCCTGTAGTGTTCACGTAAATGCTCTGTTGAAACTTTAGCTAACATGTCCTTGCAAGTGTATTTATGCACAGTGTCACTCGGTTTGTGAATGGGTGTTGCCCACTTATTAACCCTCGGCGTGCATGCGCAGCGAGGGTTACGGTAGTTGGTTTGTCTGTCTGTGTGTGTGTGTCGACGCTCTGGCACTACAGGCTACGAGGCGGCCCATTAACGATACCAGCGGCTTCAGAACTACGCGAGCCTGAAAAGTAAAGGGTGATTTTGCTGAAACGACTGCGTTCGAGAGATATGCCGTGAAAACAAGCGAAAAAGCCAATATGCATAATCGCACTGGGCTTACCGCCACCTGATCCGTTCGCTCTGTGTACCTTGGGGGCTCAGGAAGTCACAACGAATGGCATGTATCAACTCCCGCATGCTATCTGTACCACTGTAGCTAGCCCGTGTCAGATTCTCCGCGAGTTACTAGCGGGAGACCATGAGTATACGCATATAAATAGCCAAGCCCATCAATTAGCAGTATCGTGCATGCGCAGTTCACCGAGGGTTTGCACTTTTAGTGCTTTTCGTTGAGTTAGCAATCTAATCAAACACCATCAATCTTCGAACGTGATAGTGGCACCGTCATTTTACACAAAAGTTGGTAATTACCGTCATTGAGAGGCTGTGTTTTTGACATCTGTACATGTACGTGCGTATGTGTTTTATCACTATAGAACCTGCAACAAAAATTGATGCATACCGTTACTATTGCCGACCATGAAAATTTGTGATGTCTGCAATAAAGTTAACACTAGATCCACTGTTGTTGTTAGCCTGACATGAACGTGATGATGAAGGTGGTTGATCTGGCCGGAGCTCCCAGTGAGTTCACTCACTACGTCTACTGGAAGAGGCAGAGAATGATCAAGGTGTGCTGATCTACTGTTTATGAGTGTCTCGTAAACACTGGCATTCCTTAAAATTGTGGACCTGCTGCGTACGTAGAGGTGTATGATTATGCATGTATAATTATTGTAGGCCCCCCCCCCCACTTACACATTATGTGGCCTCTGGTTACATAACAACACTTACAACAAAGTGTCTCTTATTGAGGGTTGAAGCTCGGCTGTTCCTAAGACTTTTACTCATCGTTCCCTGTTAGAAAATACTAAAGGCACTCATTGATAAGCAGTTCTGAAAGTTTTATTGGATAAACTGTGGTTTTAAAGAATTTTGCAGTATGCAGATCCAATTGAGCGTCACCGATGAAACATTTATGGTTTTTCAAACTTTGGGGTTACATTATTTACGGTAATTACCCCTGTGACAAACGAAGTCATTATCTCTTCATTTGGCAGGGGTGGGGAATGGTGAGGGAGGAGAACCCGAAACTGGGGGCGGGGCGAGTGGTGGACCAGATGGCTCCCTGGGAGTCGTTCCAGGTCCTTGGACCTCACAGCGGGGTCAACATATGTGACACCAACTCCATCAAGAGGTCTGTATATACAACTACCATGTACAATGTATTACGGGGTCTCTTATTAGACCCACATGTGAAAGTACTAGAACTAATGTGATGCCTCTTTAGCAAGCAAAGCGACCTTTGAACTGCCGTACGTTATGGAGAGTTTCCTTTTATAGTAACTTTGATTTCCAGCACGTTTGTATGTATAGCAGCACGCAGCTTTTAGGGACGGGAATGTTCCCTGCTTGAGTTATGTGTACATGCAACCCAGGAACTGTGTCCTCTAGTTTGTGTGCAGGGGTTGAGAACTACTCGCCAGGAGGAGTCGATCTCCTGATTGGAGATCTCTCTCCCCTACCCCACGGAGCCCATCCCCCCGGCCAAGCAGAGACACGCTCCAAACAGCAGCTGCTGGCTCAGTGCATATGCGCCTGTCGAGTGAGTCGTCAATATTGCATTTCAACCCGTTCTACAGTGATGTCGTGCGTGAGAGTATACTGTGCCATAGCACAGTGGTTTGAGGTTTGCCTTGTGTTGTGTTGTGTTGTGTTGTAGATTCGAACCCCTACCAGCTGAGTTGCCCTGGTAGAGCGCTCGCCAAGACTGCAGAGTGTAGTGGGTTCGAATCTTTGAAAAGAAAGAGCTGTCATGGGTGTAGTTGATTTGGTTGCCTTGTCTTGCCTTTCTACCTCGTTACCAAGTAGTTGAGACATGTATGTATGTATGTGTGCAATAGTAAGATTTGGAGTCTATGGTTACTGTGATCTACTGCACCCAATTACCAAAAGTGTGTGTGTTTCATAAAATTTTATGTGCTCCTTCACTACACCTTGTGATGTGATGTGGTGGTTCATTGGAATGTCTTACATAAAGCTGTAGTCAAGCAAATGCATGCAAGGCTTGTATCAATAGCCTGGATCCATCCTAACGACGTTGCAGTGGTGTGCTGGCACCTTGGAGATCTATCTCTGATGCTGTTTCTCTCCTGCAGGTGCTGCAGATTGGAGGGACATTCATTTGCAGAGTTTACGAACTCATCTCTCGATTCAGTGCCGGCCTCCTCTACATCCTCTACCGTATCTTTGAGGAGGTTGGTAATGTATATCTGACACCAGAACTGGTGTAAACCCCTTTTTGTTCACGCCCCGTTAAGGTTTAACCCTTTGGAGGCCATGGGTATCTGCTTAAATAAGCATGTATGTATAAAGTATTAGCGCCTGGTATTATAACCCCCATATAAATTCTTATGGACTTATGAAGGCACTTTTATGTGTCCATGGCTGGTTAAGTGTTAAGATGTAGTTGATGGTTGGCAGAGTAAAAATGTTGGGAGAATATACTGAGCACCAATATTTCAATCATAGGGGCTAATTTGTGAATGCTGGTTAAGCACTCTTTCTCTATGAGCTCTGATATAGGGCAGGTCCATGCGGTATTACCTGATGCATGAAAACACACGTTTTCAGGTGGCTATTCTGAAACCAATGACATCATGTCCAACGTCACCAGAGAGATTTCTGATCTGCAGAGGATTCACTGGCTGTAAGACCATTCTCATCGAGGTAACTCCATGAACATGATTAAAACATGCTACAATGTGTGTATCAGTACCTTGTGTATATATTATAGATGCTATTGGAAGTGAACAGTCATATGACGGAGCTAAACTCCAGCGTCAATAGCCAACTGGATGTACTGGAGATTGTACCAATGCAGCAACTCCTTGGAGGTCAGTTACAAGGAAAATTAAGTATCTCCTTCTACTGTCCATATCATCAGTAGTAGGTTAAATGTCATGTTTTTCGCATACAGAATGCCTCCAAACCAGATGTTAATTTAGACTGGTGGGGACACTTGCCCTCTCGATCAAATCTTGCCCCATCCCTCTTGGACTTTAGGTGAAGCTTTTCATGCGGTTCTCCATGCCAGGACTCCCATTATGCCAAAGGGTTGGTTCGCAATACTTCGCATTGTCCTGTCGCGCAGTGCCGCATTGCCGCCACGCGAGGAAAGAATACCATTTCTATCTTTGCGGCATGATGCGACGTGCCACAAAGCAACGGGGCAATGCGACATACATATTGTAAACCTTGCTGACTCCTCTAATGGAGCCCCCCTGCACTCTTTTTAATATGCGTTGTACAATGCCTTGGTTCTCTTTCTCAGAGGAGCAGTTTTATCGATTCCTTACTCTGAGCAATGAGAGGATAGCCAGACACAGGACCCAGTGCATCACTAGGCTGGAGAAGGCCATGATGGACAATGAGGTCTGTGTGTGTGTATTTGTGCATGGTATGTTATTGTCTGTGTTTTGTGTGCTTGGGTGGGGGAGGTTTTTCTTTTCCTCTCTTTTAGCTAGTATGCTATAAACATGTTGTTTCATGTGTGCGTGTGCATGTGTTAGATCATACATGAGTATTTATAACAGTTGAAGCGATTTTCATGCTTGCAAATAATGCAGACGACCAGGTAGGCCATCTTTGTAATTAACATAATTATGCATCCCTAATGAATGAGTCCGTCGAAAACAAACACTGCAAAATTGTGCACCTACAATATACAAACGTAGACAAAGTTGCAGATGTTGAAAATGGGTATGTGTGTGTGTGTGTTACCTTGCAGCTCTCCTTGTCTGATGAAGACAGAACACTCCTTAGAAAAGGTACTCTTGAAATTTTACAACTCCCAACCACCCCTTCTTTACCTCAGAATAATAAATAGCTTCTTTTTTTTATTATACACATGCAAACCAACTCTCTACATACATAATTATTGCTCCACAAATTTTGTATAATAAAGTGCAGTTATGCAACATTTGAAATTCTTCAGTCTATAGTCTATACATAATAGGTTTTATACACTCTCAATAAAAAAAAATGGGTGGAAATTCAAAATACACTCTACAACCACAGTAAGATCTTCTCTGCCTGTTATAACGTGGATCACGGTATGTCAGGTCCCAGGGACAACTGTTTGGAGAGGGGTTCCTTTTTCTCTCCAGGCAGGTCCCCTTCTGAAGATGTGGGACGGTTCACGTTGAGATCACTGGAAGCTCCGTTACAGTTTGTAGTCAGTCGGCGCTCTTCGTAGGTGTAGTTCTCGTGGTTTTGTTCAACGGTTTTCTCTGTGATCCTGTGATGGTCTTCAAACAACAGACTTGTCCACTGACGAAGAGGGACAACCCCCGTACGTAGTGGCGTTACTTTCAGCGAATGGGAAGAAGGCGCTCGCTTTTTATGCGCGTCGCGTGTCGGCAGCGCTCCCGTTTCGCCCTGCGGTGAGTACTTTGTCATGGCGGCCACGTACTGCGAGACGGTGTCGTGGAAGTACATTGAGCGCTTCTTCCTGTTGTGTCTCTCTCTCTGCTGCACATCGTCGTTCACACGTGTGATGACGCTCCTCCACCGTCTCTTGTCGCCCCTCCTCCCACCACCTGGTCCGCCAATCCCCCAGTCCTCCACATCTGCCACGTCCTCCTCCAGGTTCGCCAACTCCTCTCTCTGCACCTTCAGCACCTCTCGAGTGGCCTGGACCCGGCTCAGAAGCTTCTGCTGCCGCTCATGCAAATCCTGTCTGTGTTTCTCCATTTCTAACATCGCAGTGCTCATCCCGACCGCCACGTGGACCTTCCTTGCAAACCGCTTTGGCTTCCAGACGGTGTGTGCCTGCCCCTCGTCCAGGTAGAGGGCCCGGCGATGGTCCCTCTTTGCCTTTATGCTCTTTCTCTTGCTCTCGGAGCGTAGCTGCGTCCCCGACGAAGTCACTTCTCCGTTCCCAGTCAGGTGCTGGGGGAGCTCGTACACATTGGCAACAGCATGTCTCAGTGGTTGCGTATCGTGAGTTGGCTCTGTGGGGGAGGTAGTGATGATGGATCCAAACCATAAGCCTTTAAATAATGAAACTCATAAACCACATCGATGAACCAGAGTGCTTCCCTCTGTTACTTGCATCCACAGAGGGTTCCCACGGCATGCACAAAAAAATACCCATCTCTTTTCTAACAGGAACTTATCTTTGTGTCCCAAGTGAATGGCATAATCAATGTAGGTTATTCCCTTGTTTCTGCACTTAGCCCTTAAAACTCCAGCAGTGTCATTTTTATTGCTGCTTTCCCTTTCAAAAACAGCCATTTGTTTCCTGTGTCACTTGGGCAATGTGTGTTTGCATGCAATACCCACACTTAAAGAATATGTGTGTGTGTACCTTCTTCTGGTTTTGTATCCACGCAATGGCCATTTTCAGTTGCCTCTTCATCATCTGAGTTTTCATCGTCGCTGTCCAGCGAGCGGTAAAATTCGGGGAAATCTGTCTGATCTGAATTCTGTAGCGTTTGTCTGTGGTTGTATATATAGAGGAGAGTTGTCACACTCAATAATGGAGACCAATGTTATGGGTCCCTAATAACACTAAGGTACACTTCCCGCATTACTGAAAACTCTTGTGTATTGATTTGATGCTGAAAATCTGCCACAGCATCAATTTCGGAATTGTGTATGACAGTATGTAGTGTGTTTTATAGTGGAAGGCTGTGATGATATGAAATATGCCATTCTTTGCCGAGTACTCTAAAATGTTTGAAGACAATCAGTGTTTGTATGCAGTGCACATATTTTGCATGATTAGTATTTGTGTGGTACACGGACGACGTGAGTATATATGCATCACCAAAATTGTCATGCCAGATCTCACAAGCATTGAGTAGTGCTGTGGCTATGAACCGGTGTGCAAAGATGCTTACACTGACACTGACCACTGGTCACAACTCACCCCAACACGATTTTGATATTGGAGAGGACTTTGCTGTCGCTGAATCTGAGCCAGTTGCTTGCCACCGCCGCCAGGAGACAGAACACGGTCATGCTCACCAGCATCTGCAGTTGAGCGCAAAAGCAAAAGGCTCTCAATGCATTAGCCAGAAGCCCTGCCCACATGGAAAAGTATTCCCTGGCTCTCACTCAAGTATGCAAGCAAAAGTGCCTGTGCGAAGAGGCTAATGGAAAACGCACTGCTGTATGGAGGGCGGGTTTCCACTGTTCTAAGATTAAAGCTTGAAAGCGGAACTTGTGTCTCAACAGTCGCTTTCTCTTGTTTACTTGTAGATAAGCCACCTGGTCAGGCAGGCCACCTGGCTGATTTTTACTTGGGCGATGTTTGCAGCCATGTAGCTGCGGTTTTCCCCATTTTTTGCGATAGGTGGTTTTTGCAGCCAATGCATACACAGGAAAGTGATATGTTTAGCTACGTAGGGCTCCTTCAGACTGACTGTATGGCTATATTTGCCACTGTACGTGGTTTGTCATTGATTTGTGGTTGCAAGTTAAGATCACTCTTGCTTTGCTCTTGTGTGTTTGAGTTGAGTCTGACCTCAAGTGCAGGTTAAAGTAAACATGTTAGTAAAACAACATGTGCCCATGTGTTGATAGAGGCATGTCAACCACTGACCTCATCAAGTGGGTAAGACAAATCGATTGCCCCTTACTCACCACAATATTTGCATAAGGGTTTATGTCTGCGAAGTCAAAAGAGTCCAAAATGTATTTCCCTGAAGTGGTGTAGCACTCTAGTTCTGAGCCACCATCTCTCTCACAGTCACTCTCAAAGTCAGAGAGCAGTATGACTGCTGAGGCTGAAAACCCATAGTAGTTGGGGTTGATGAAAGTCAGCCAGCGGTAACTGATGAAAAAGGGATGTGGTTGATGGTCGTGTAATGAATTTGGAAACACATCAAAGAAGTAGGTATGGAGTAATTCCCTTCTGTACCATGTAGAAAATACCATGTGATGCCAAGAGAAAAAAGATGTGGAGCTCTGGACAGCTGTTTCGGGCTTGTTGCCATGTGGTGGATTATGCACGTGGGCACAATATTGACATGCTTGCAGAGCCCCCTAGTAAACTATGAAGGTAGCAGTATTTCTGGTACTTTGCCTTGTTTTTTTTCCTGTTAGTTTGCTATATGTACTTTGCTGGGGAAATTTTGTTCCCCTGTTTCCCTATGCATAACTGCACTATAGAAAGTTTTTTTACTGCTCTATCCCATACAACATCTGGGAAGGGTTCTTACCACGAGGGAATGTGACTGATAGGGATAAAGAAACCACTAGTGAAGCCAGCCACGGCCGAGAGGACCGGAGAGAGACGAAAGGACTTGCGAGGGAAGGTCACGATGAGCCAGATGAGCAGGGCGGTCCAGACCTGGTTGAGGGCAATGTTCACCAGAGCCACTTGCAGAAATTCCATCAGGTCCCACTGGAGGACGTCAATCAACTGCAGCAGGGAGTGAGAAATCAGTGAAGTTGTGAAGAAACAGCCAAAACACACGATACTCAGACAAGTTATTGGCTGAAAAGCTTGTATGGGTAAGGATATTACAGTGCACTCTACCCCTCCTAAACCCTGCTGCCACACACTTCTCTTTGGGCAAAGCTTGATTGTCATCTCTTGGCTTTGCATCAGTGAATGTGTGGGTTTGTGCAGTTAGTGTTGACTCACCAGCATGTAGAGAATGCCGGCACAGACAATGACGGGGAAGAAGGCCATGGACGTGAAGCGCACGAAGCTCTGGATGATGAGGTCCGCTGCACGACCTGCTCCATCTGCTCTCTCAAAAGAGTAGATGGTGAGGGCACGGGACAGGTAGCTGTAGATGGCCGGGAACATGAAGAGTGCACTGGCCACAGAGTAGACACAGAATCCTGAGACTATCAGGATCGGTGTTGTGGTCTGGTAGTATACTGTACCTATAGTTATAGAGTGAGATAAAAGATCGATCCATTCTTACTGCAACCCATTATTGATGAGCTTGACTCGTCAATCACGAAGTGTGGCTTTTAGACTATCTCCAGCGCGTATAGGCAGTAAAGGGCATACGTACCAAGGAGAAGTCCATAACCGAAGAAGATGATGGGTAGGTAGAGGATGGCAGAGATGGAAGCTCTGGTCATGGCCCTTGCTTCCAGGGCAGCCAGTCGGGGGACAGTACTGTTGTGGGTACGACCGGTGTGTCGAGACCCTCTCAACATCAACCTGTGGAAGATTAGACTTATATTTTGGGACTGGACCCTCACAACTTCAGCCTGTGGGAGATTAGACTTTCTAAATCCTCACAACTAGGAGACGATTTTTATCATGGGTTTGGATAGGACTTTTGTTATGGATCTAGAAGAATTTTCCAGCAAGTTTACATACATTTCTAATAGAGCTGTGACCCAATCAGTAAGGTGATAGGTTTGTAAGATTAACAGTGGTATAGTTTAGAGTGATCCCTTAATTAAGTTAAGGTCCATCAGAGAGCACCAAAGCACCAATCAGTCTCATCTATGGATTGATGTCTGGTGTACCTACATACCTCAGTGTATTAGGTTTTCCAGTTCCTGCCTTCACCCCATCAAAGTCAATAGAGTCACCGCTGAACCCTCTTTCCCTCACCCACGCCTTTGCAATTGCCTTGCTCACCAGCTTCTGCTCACCCGTGTCCTCGTAGTAATCATTGACCATCTTTCTCATGCCCTTGTTACCGAGTATGTCCATTATGACATCTGTTGTTGGAGGTAAGGTTTAATGGTGTTGTAAAACATTTCGTTTGACTATTACATTGTCTGTGGGAGGTTTTACCTGCTGGGTTGTGGTCCTCAAGGTCCGGAATGACAAGGTTCTGTTTGAGGTAGCTCGACTGGAGAGAGTTGACAAACACCTCATACGCCTTTTCAGGGACTCCATGGTAAGCCACCTACATGTGTGCACATTATACATGTGTACACTATTTCACAAGTGTGGATTATTACTACTGAGTAACATTTGACAGGGCTGATATTTCTTTAAAATTATTCTCATAACAAGTTGGATGTATTACTATGTACAAAGTTTAATCCTAGGAGATGATTGTATTGTAATGACATACTTATTTAGGTGCCTACTACAGTGCAGTTACATGATATTTTACAGGGCCTTTCACTCTCTATAATTACTTAGGTGTTAACGGTGTAACATTCAAAAGCTTTAATAAACTTAGTGTTTAATTACGATCCTAGAGGTAATCAGATACTTAAGGTATATATACAACATTTTAAGCATTCCAAGGCTAAGTGCGTGGGGAATACACGGGTATATACAGTACTATACCTTTCCATCTGTGAGGACAACAATTCTGTGGAACATGTGGAATATCTCCAGTCTTGGCTGGTGGATGGTGAGCACTACAGTTCTATTGGAGGCTGCCAGAGCATTCAGATGAGTCAGTAGTTCAGCGGAAGAGGCTGAGTCCAATCCTGCAGATAGTTCAGCAGGTATGTCTATGTTTACTCTACCCTTATTGGTGCTGCAGCCAGTAACCTGATCCCCAGATTCCAAGGATACCCATTTCTGGTGTGGCTGACCTTGATTATAACTGCATAATTGGATCTTTGTCTCTCTGGTAGACTCATATCCTGATTGGGGAAGCTGTCTGCTAGGCTAACTGACAGGGTAATGATGGCACGTGGGCTTAAAATGTTTGTAGAGGGTCCCTTGGGAGTTGGTTACTACCCCAAAAATGAGCTGCGGTGAAAAGCTAGCCGAAACACAAGGTTTTTATCCCAGATGCCAGAGTGTGCTTGGCAACAAAATATAACAAACTATATTGGTGCCCATGTTTTGGGGTAAATATTGGTAATTACCTGAGGTGGGTTCGTCAAGGAAGATGACACTGGGTAGCTTCAGCAGTTGCAGAGCTACAACAAGTCTTCGTTTCTGCCCGCCACTCAGTCCTGGTCCTGTAGCTCCTCCTACAACAGTGTCAGCTAGATCCATCAAACCAGTCTGTCAGGAGAGAGAGAGCAACTCGACAGGTTATCTCACCAATGGACCAGTGAGAGGTCTCACCACTTCCATGACTTGCTCCACTCTCTGGAACTTCTCTCTGCTGCTGATGTGGAGCTTGACCCATGCTGCTAGAGTCAGGTTCTCTCTCACCGTCAGCTCCTCATAGTAAGGAGCTGCAAGCTGTAGCACATACCCCGTGTTGCTGATATACCAGTTACGATTCTTTTCAATCGGTAATCCATTGATGAAAATGTCACCCTGGAACAATCAACAATGGCATTAGCATAGCTCCATTACATAAAGTATAATTATACTCACGGAGAATGAGCCTGTTTTGCGGCGTCCTGTGAGTAGATCAAGGAACGTTGTCTTTCCACATCCTGCATACGGCAACCACCATACACGATACATTAACTCTGATAGAATTGGTGGCACTAGCTAAAGCGTGGTATATTCAGTGTATTTTTGCAGCTGGGATGGAACCATAGTGTAGCCGCATATTCTTTTACCAACAATTCCCAGACTTTTATAGTGCACATTCCTACTCTTATCATTGTGCCCCAAATTCCACAATACGGAGGAATGTGATTAAGCAGCTCCGTAACCACCGCCATTTTCTTACTCCCTTTGTCTTTTGTTGACATAATGATACCATGGGTGGAAATCATGGTGCTTGTTTGATAACATGTTGTATGGCTAATGTGCAGCAAAATGCAGGCATTTTTCTGCAAAACTCACTTGTGTGCAGGAAGAACTTATGAAAACTCCTGCACATTTCGCACTTCTTCCACCGACACTTTTGTCAATCCCTACTGCACCTTTCTTGCACATTCGCCAATGTGCAGTAAGGTTTTTACTAGGATTTCTACCCTCACTTGAAATGAGAGGGTTTTTTTACACACTGCCCCTATTTTGGTCTGACAAACTGTTTAGAAAAAGCAGGGGGGTACGGAACATGTGCAGCAAGTGGTCAGTAAGCCACTCTACTTCCTGACACCCGCTGATTATTATGCAATATACAGTACAGATACTTACCCGAAGGACCCATAATCGCTATTAGTTCCTTTGGGTTAAAGTAAGCTGATATTCCTTTGAGTATCTTCTTTCTTCGTACTCCAAATACGGTTCCCTAAGAATTGAGTGATGAGAAAGTGTGATTTTAGAGTTTATGTAAGAGGGCTACATACCAATTTGCCTCTGGTTTTGTGTACACGTTGCGTGGAAACTAAAGGTAGAGAAATGACTTCATAAACGTAAAATGTGTGGTGTATTTCATACTTACCTTCAATATCGAGGGATTTTGTTGGACTTGCAGCAGTCAGCTCGCTCTCTGGTTTGAGGTCGTTGAGGGTTATTGGCGAGTGAGTGTATTTCTCCTCTTTCTCTTTGAATCTCGAGTGGACATTGACGTAGTAGTGCAGGTCGAGGCACGCCACTGATATTGCATTCTCGTCAGTGCAGTTGGGAAACTGTTGGACGCAAGCAGAGTGAAAATTGTTAGGGCGCTGCAGACTATTATTTTGGGAACTACGTGGAGGTACAGAATGATGTATTTGCATGTTAAGGAAACTAATGTGCATTTCTTCACCGTAACCCATTGAATTTGTCCATATCCCAGAGGCTATGGTGGGTACAGAGGACTGTGTTTGGAAGCACACTTGGCATTGTACCCAAGAGCTTCTTAGTGATATGTGGGGGGATGCGTGCATGCTATGAACTATAATTTCATGCCTAATTGTTTTTATTTGTGGGTATTAGGACTTGTTGTTGGAGCAGGATTGTCATAGGCCTGTATCATAAAACTCATCCACATAGTTTGTTATTAGACACTTGCTTACACCTCTGTGTAACCTGATCTAAAGCCAAAAGGAAGTTGCTATTGACGGCAGACTCCTTTGTTGTGAGTGGTTGGAATGTTGGTATATTTCCGAGTTGAATATCCTGTGTGTGGAGGTCACAAGCATTTGGCAGCATCTCATGGGGCTACCAGAACGACTTGGATCTTTTACTTACACAGCCAAACCATGAATACAGCAGTAGCTTCAAAAGAAGAGTGGGCTCTTACAAAAATTTTCCATTTTTATGTGCTGCTAACGTGCAGCAAAAGCTCCAGGTGACGTAACATATTTTACTAGGCACATAAGTGGCATATTTGTGTAAGAGCAGGCAAGAGTAATGGACCCCAAACAGCAGGCCCACAACCACTCAAGAATGCTAAATCCGGCTGTATTTGGCTTGACTGTAGTGGAGAGCATCAATTAGTCTAAGTATGTGTGCCAGGCAGATGGTGGGGAGTTATAGCATTTGTGTTCTCTGGCAGCTAAGCACGCACATGCCCACATGGTCCTCCCAAGTGTCCTAATTGTTGAAAGACTGGTGACTGTAATCGCAGTATATGCACTCTTTCATTTCACTGCCAAGTGGAGCACTCACCTCAATCTTTACTGTGGTCACAGAGACCGAGTCACTGTACCGCTTCTCTTCGTCCATCTGGTGTTTGATGTTTCTCAGAAAGTGCCTCTGCCTCCAACGAAGACACCTCCACCATAGACAGCAGTACATCTGCAGTTAATTCCCCCACACGTGATGTTTGCGAAGATTGAAAACAATGTGTGTTAATGCGTGTATCTACCACCCACTGCCTACTTTTGGCCATGCATGTTTATTGTAAATGCCATGCACATACACAAATGATATATGTGTATGTATGTGTATAGTGGGTGAACGTTCACCTTCATCACAAGGCTACTGACTGCAATGAGAAGAACTGCAGCAGCAACTCCTATCCGAACGCCCACAGACCAGGCATCTTTCTGGCTGTTGGATTCCAGTAGAATCTGCTCTGGACAGGTCCGGCTGCAGTGTACTCCCGAGCACGCATCACGGAACGCAACTTCCTCTTCAGTGTCAGAAATATTCTCGTACCAGTGCCCAATAGCCCTGCGTATTGTGTAGCCCTGGCCCTGGTGGTAGCCAAGCAGCGGACCATTCCACACTCCAGACTGGATCCTGTGTCTGGTGGATATGGTTTTTGGTATGCATTCATGATGCATCAAACACTTGGCTCCTTCCACTAGCATTAAGTATGAAATTTCTTAGTATGCGTTATAGCCATCGTCTCACACAGCATGTACAGACCACACATCAAAGCGTGTATGTGTGTAAACTAACCTCACAGTTGTAATGTCGGAACTCAACTCAATGACTTCAGATCCCAGCAGTCCTCCATCTTCCCTGAGGGTGGACGTTGCAAGATACACATGCTGGAAACACTGTGTTACAAAGTAGCTGAGTCTCAAACGTGGGAAGAGGGTTGCAGTGGCCGTGGCAGTTAGAGAATTGTTCATCTCCCCGCCGTACTCCCCAATGGTCATTAGCGACTGAAGTCCAAGACTGGTGGTGGTATATAGATCAGCAGACACTACTGGGTTGAATGGGGACAGGGACCTGGTTAGAAGCAACAGATCGTACAAACTCTGGAGTAAGAAAAGTGGGACATCTCTTGGGTAATAGGGCTCCCCAGTTACGATGCTCTTCTCTGTGAGAATACATTGAGCTGAAAGGCAGCAAGGAAAGCCGGGTCTAGTGTCATTGCAAGCTTCAACTGAGCCCAGAGATCCATTGAGATGGTTGCTCAGAAGTTGCCCACTTTCTATCGTGGCTCCAAATTCCTGATTAAGGCTGCCACGGAAGTTGATGAACCAGGACGAGTCGGTGATGACCTTTAGACTGACATTCTGGAAGGTGTCTCTCACCCACTTTGCTGAGTTGAGAACACCCACTCCCCCAGCACTGGAGCCAACCAGAACAATCTCTGAGGCTGTGTTCAGGTTGTACAGTCTGTCAAGAGTCTGCAGTACTGAGCGGAAAATGGTCTGTCCTCGAAATGTGAACTGGAGATCTTCACTTGTTGGATTGTATCTGAAGCAGTCCTGGTCCCAGCAGTCACACTGTTGATCTTGTCTCTCATCACTGCCCAGCCACAGATCACTGCTACAGTAAGGCACCAGTACATGACCATGGTTGCAGAATGTTGGGTTTTCTATGCGGTCACTGCTCAAAATGTCTCTGCCTTCAATTATAAATCCTCTGCTATTATGGAAGAAAAGTGATTCGTTTCTGAAGCAGTAGGGAGACGTCATAAGAGGGTTCACGACCCTAGTTCTGGGCGCTGTCTCTGTCCCTTCCCAAGCGGACGTCGTGTCGAAGTTTCCCAACGCATTGGGATCCGCACTTCTGCCCTTGCTGTAACGGCGTCCTACGTGCGACTGAAAGTAGCGGCGATTGCATGTTTCGCTCGAGTAGCAAAGCGACCCACTCTCTAGGAACACCACCCACTTTTTACCTGCACTGCTAGGTTTCCGATGGAAGAATCCAGCACGCGTGAGGTCGTTGCAAAGTGCAGCTGTGTCGTCAGCAAACTCCCAGGACAGCGGTTCAGCGGCGCATACAGTGGCAACCAAACATATAACGACGGTCGCTATGGACGAGGTACGCATCGCTGGCGTCTGCTCCCAGATGCCACTGAGCTAATGTCACTTGGAGCGGTGGTTGTGCAACTGCAGGTGAGTTTTTATACCAACGTTTCGCGGTGCGCATGCGCATGATGCTCCGCACCCGCAATGCAAATCACATTCACTAATTTAGAAACTACATCTAAAATTTTCGGACCAATTCTACACAACAGTATCTTCAGCTCTATCGAATCCTGTTTCTTTGTCCAGTACTGAGGCATTGCTGGCCATTCTTGTGTACTCGTGCTTCCACTGTTGAACAGCATCTCGAGTCCCTGTGGTTTTCGATTTGAGTACTCGGTCAGATTTCGCCATCTGGGAGACAGCATCATGAAAGGGGCGCATCGTCTTCAGTAATTCCCTCCTCGTGGCTCTTGCGCTGTCGTCTCGAAGGATGCTATGCCAGGTTTGTCGTTCACGTGAAGTCAGATATTCTTCCCCGACCTTTGACTCTCTCGTGCTCTTCGCTCTGTAGCCTCAGGACTTTCTGGGTTGCCTTCACTCACTTCATCAGCTGCTTCCTCCTCTCTAGAATGTCCTTCCTTGGTAGTTCGTGTAGAGATACCCTTGGCGTTGGTGGAGTCCCGTCGTCTTGTATTGAGCCGTGTGGTGGCGGCGGTGTCCACACCTCGTGTTTTTCACCATCGTCAAGATATAGAGACTCATCTACTGCTGATAGTACCCTGGAAGCGCGGTTGGCCATCTCCCCTGGCCCATCGTCTTTTAGGCGCCCCCCAATTTCCTCTCCCTCAGCTCGAGCACTTCTTTCAGTGATCTTAGCGATTATCCTAGAGAATTATAGTGGGATTTACATTGATGGCATTGAGAAAACCACCATGTAATTTTCTTAGTTATTACTAACCACATACCCATTAAGCTGTATTAGAGTCCTCTGTGGTGGGAGGTATCTGATCCAGTTACTCACTCCAGCAATCACCAGGAAGAATGCAGTCATGCACAGCAGTATCTGGCATTGTAAGTTAATGTACGCTACGTTACACTAAGTTAGTAACTCAGACTCACCAAAATGTTCTGGTAGGGGTTGACTGCGTTGAATCCGAATGCAGCCAGTATGTAGTCTCCGGAAGCAGTGTAGCACTCTAGTTCTGAGCCACCATCTCTCTCACAGTCACTCTCAAAGTCTGAGAGCAGTATGACTGCTGAGGCTGAAAACCCATAGTAGTTGGGGTTGATGAAACTCATCCAGCGGTACCTGATCGAGACCCAATCATGTGGATCACAGTCACACCAAGAGATAATAAAATCTGTTCTTACCAGTAAGGGATATCATTTATGGGTATGAAGAATCCACTGGTGAATCCTGCCACTGCTGACAATACGGGAGCAAGCCGAAGAGATTTTTTGGGGAATGCGAGAATGAGCCAAATGAGTAGAGCTGTCCACGTCTGGTTCAGGGCTACGTTGACTAATGCAATCTGGAAGAACTCTGCTGGATCCCAGCGGCTAGATTCGATCAGCTGAAATGATGTGTCATAATGTGATCGTTTACTTTGCATTGGACACTTACCAGTAAGTAGAGGATACCGGCACAGATGATGACAGGGAAGAAGGCCATTGAGATGAACCTGACAAATGGCTGGATCACAAGGTCAGTGGCCCGTCCTGCACCGTCAGCATGTTCAAATGTGTATATCTCAAGAGCTCGTACATAGAACGTGTAGAGAGCTGGGAACATGAAGAGTGCACTGGCCACAGAGTAGACACAGAATCCCGACATTATCAGGAATGGTTTAGTCGTTTGGAGGTACACTGTACCTGTATAATCAGTTTCAATAGAACAGGACAACCTTTTTACTCAACGTAATACCTAAGAGAAAGCCATAAACAAAGAAGATGATAGGCAGGTAAGAGATGGTAAGGGCGTTTGCTCTCTTCATTGCCCGGACTTCCATAGTTGCCACTGAATTAACTCCATGAGTGATCTCCTGAATTATCCTCCATCCATATTGTCTGGGAGAATACAGGATTGTAGATATCACAATAATCATGCTGCTGAAGTGTGTTTTGTAACTACAAATGCTGCTTCATTATAGTTTAGATGAAAGTCAATGACACGTGGATGGATGGAGTTTTGAGTATGCTGGGATTTACCTGAATTTGGTTAACTTTGTGTTCTTGTCAGGTTCACTGTGGTCTACTTCCTCAAGGTCTCTTTCCTCTTCCTTGCTAGTCAAAGCTTTGATTGCTGTTTTGACTTTGCCGTGCTCCCCACAGTCCTCATAGTGGCTGCTGATGATCCCTCTCATAGTCTCTTCCCCAAGCATGTCTATGATCACATCTGCAGTCGGAGCGACAAGCACCCAATGACACGAATAGTTGGTTGATACATGTCAAAATAATTAAGTATCTGAGTGATCAGTAGTGGGATGGCTAAGATATGTAGACACCCAGTCAGCAAGATTGAATTTGTGTGACTCTCTACCGCCCCACCTGCTGGGTTCCTGTCCCCAAGTTTTGGGATAAGGACTCCTGAACTAAGCAAGCTAGACTGAAGAGCATTCACAAACACTTCATATGCCTTCTCAGGAACACCATGATAGGCAACCTGCAGTAAGCATAGGATAATGTAATGACGTGTGGAGTAGCTACGCAGAGCAACTCACCTTTCCTTCAGAAAGGAGTATGATTTTGTGGAACATGGGAAACATTTTCAAGCCCTGGCTGATGGATGGTTAGCACCACAGTTCTATTGGAGTATGCAAGATCATCCAGTTTGTCCAGCAGTTGCACTGATGCGGTTGAGTCCAGACCTTCGGTTGTGAATATACCATGCCATGGACAACTTGTAAGGAAAATACAGTTTCCGTGTTAGCTACCTGAGGTGGGTTCATCAAGGAAGATGACACTGGGTAGGTTCAGCAGTTGCAGAGCTACAACAAGTCTTCGTTTCTGTCCCCCACTCAGTCCTGGTCCTGTAGCTCCTCCTACAACAGTGTCGTGTTGTTTTCTTAAACCAGTCTGTCCGGTAAGAGAGCAACTCGACAGGTTATCTCACCAATGGACCAGTGAGAGGTCTCACCACTTCCATGACTTGCTCCACTCTCTGGAACTTCTTTCTGCTGCTGATGTGGAGCTTGACCCATGCTGCTAGAGTCAGGTTCTCTCTCACAGTCAGCTCCTCGTAGTAAGGAGCTGCCAGCTGTAGCGCATACCCCGTGTTTCTGATGTACCACTCACGTCTTTCCTCAAGTGAACACCCATTCACAAGCACTTTCCCCTGCTTACCATGAGAAAGTAGTTAAACATTTTTGCAGTTCTATACACTCACAATCGTTTCCTCAGGGTTTCGACGTCCAGTTAGGATGTCTAGCAGCGTTGTCTTTCCACTTCCTGGCATTAAAATGTACTGTAACTCGTGTTGTATATGGACCAGGGATTACAAACCAGATGGTCCCATTATTGCAATCAATTGCTTGGGATTAAAGTATGCCGAAATTCCATTCAATATTTTCTTTGTCTTTCTGCCAGCACCTATCCCTCAAAGAAACTTCTATTATTGTTAAGGTATAATAGTTAAACTCTAAAAATAATGTTTGCATTACCTTTCCAAGATGCTCGTTTTCATTAGGTTGAGCTATAGGAAGATAGTTATTTTTTTTGCCCGAACCATAATGTCTAACTTACCTCTCAACTCTACATCATCCTGGAGGTCTTTTAGGGCTCGCTTTTGGTGTGTTTCTTCCCTGTCTTTATGGTTTTCGTCGACATTCACACAGTAGTGGAGCTCTAGACAGGCCACTGAAATAGCGTCTTCCTCCGTACATTTGGGAAACTGGTAAAATGACAATTTTGTGTGTTGTTCATTAGCTTTTCCAACAGCCCTCAAACACATTCAATAGAAGCTATAATTGTTTATCGGCCTCACTGACTTATGCCCTCGCCAAAGATTAAGCTATGAGGTGCTTATGCTATACGCAGGATCTTGCCCCGTACTCTCTGAAACGATAAGAACTCATTTCTGCTGCCTACCATCTCTTATATAGTAGTGCAGTGGTGTAGCTAACTTGCCCAGGAAACAAGAGGTTATGGGTTTGAATCCCACTGGTATAGATCTATTTTTTCATTCTGTCTTTCCATTCGTTCTAGTGTATATACCTTCTCTTCATTGTCATCTGTGTTTTTCACCCCAAGTGTAGCAGGGCTCTGGACACCCTATGCAGGTAATACAATAGTACAATGTACAATATTGATGAAATTCCTGTGGTCTAAATCACGTAGTGTGTTGGCACTGAAAGCATGGAGGAAGTGTGTACTATTTCCTCCTGGGAAGGCTCATTACTCACCACACACTACCGTGGAATTCGTATATTATATGGCGTTATTGTTTGGGTAGGAGGATTGAGAAGAGTTTTTATTTGGAGGTTATTGTGAATAGTGTGAATGTTGAGAGTGTAATGAGCCTTATAATATTTTGCTCTACTCAGTCACAACTTGGCCTAGAGGGAATAAGAAGCTACAGAAAAGCCTATATAGTCATCTGAAGTGCATGGTTTTTTCTCTATAGATACTGCCAAAAATGGGGAGTAGTTCTACATTATGGTTAAGTATATGTTATTACACCTTTTGGAGTGGTGTTGCAGGTACGCGCCCTCGGCCCCGAGGGGGGAGGGCGGATAAACCGCAACACCACGACAAAAGGTGTAATAAAATGTTTATTACCGCTGATTGGTCGTTGCTGGGGAAACCGCGCGCGAAAATGGCGCATCCACCCAAATAAGGCGATGCGCGTGAACCTGCGCATGCTTAACGTGCCGTTCTATCGTACGCCGCTCATCAGCAGCCAGACAAACACAGACAGTGGATATTCACACCATTCCTTAGTTATTTACCCTAACCACAGTGGATATTCTCTATTCTCACCTTCTCACCCTCTTGGGTGGGTAGCTGATTTATTGTGCTAAATAAACATAGCAACGACCTAGCAACGAGTAACAATAACGTACATCTTCCTCAGTTTTTCCATAAACATGAGCTTGTGGATGTGAAGCCAAGAAGCTCCTTTGCTTTGTGTCAAGTAGCTTTGCCCAAATGCAACAGTACAGCTGTATAAATTTAAAGATGGTCTTAATCACAAATGGAGGGGTTGTCATGCTGTCATGGTTGAGTAATTCTCTAAGAAACAGAGGGGCTATGGGCTGTGTGGTCAGATATTAGATACCTTCATCGTAAGAGAGATGATTGCAATAAGTAGTACCAAAATGGCTATTGTGACCCTGGCACCCACAGACCAAGTCTCTGCCTCTCTCCGTGACACTAAAACAATCTCCTCTGGGCAGGAGTTGCTGCAGTGTGGACTTGAGCACTCATCACGAAAGGCCACACCCTGCTCCCTTGTGTGACACATTCCTATACCAGTAGTCGATTGCATCTCTTATGGTGTAGCCTTCACCCTCATAGTAGCCAAGTGGTGGGCCATTCCATACTCCTGACTGGATCCTGTGTCTGCAAATAGCGAAAACACATCGAGATAATTATTAAATTCTTGGAATATCTTGATTAGCTTACCGGAAAACTGCGATTTTGTGAGCAATCTCCACTCTTCCTGGTCCTAACAGTCCCCCTTCTTGTTGTAGAGAAGAAGTGGCAAAATATACGTGCTGAAAGCATTGTGAAGTGAAGTAACTGAAACCGAGCCCCATTCTCGAGGCAGCAATGCTAGTTTCAATGAGGGAAGCATTCATTGCACCACCGTATTCTCCCACTGTTGATATGAATTGGACTGCTAGGTTTGCAGCACTGACCTCAGCATCATTGAAAACATCAAGTCCAGCAAGAGAGTTTGCCAGAAGGAAGATATCATAGATACTTGTCAGTGCAAACACTGGGACATCTTGAGGGAAATATGAAACTCCAGTGAGTCTATTTCTTTCCAGCAGAATGCACTGAGCCGAGAGACAGCAAGGATAGCCCAGCCTGGCGTCAATACAAGCCTCATTTGCGCTTAGAATAGCCACAAGACTGTTTGTAGTGCTTGTGTTTGTTAGTAAATTTCCAGATTCTCGGTTAATACCGTCTTGAAAGTTGATGAACCAGGACGAGTCGGTGATGACTTTGAGACTGGCGTTCTGGAAGGTGTCTCTCACCCACTTTGCTGAGTTGAGAACACCCACTCCCCCAGCACTGGAGCCAACCAGAACAATCTCTGAGGCCGTCTTCAGATTGTACAGTCTGTCAAGAGTCTGCAGTACTGAGCGGAAAATGGTCTGTCCTCGAAATGTGAACTGGAGATCTTCACTTGTTGGATTGTATCTGAAGCAGTCCTGGTCCCAGCAGTCACACTGTTGATCTTGTCTCTCATCACTGCCCAGCCACAGATCACTGCTGCAGTAAGGCACCAGTACATGACCATGGTTGTAGAATGTTGGGTTTTCTCTGCGGTCACTGCTCAAAATGTCTCTTCCCTCAACTGAAAAGCTGTCAGTGTCACTGAAGAAGCGGGTTTCGTTTCTGAAGCAGTACGGAGACGTCATGAGAGGATTGACTACGTCAGTCAGTGGCTGCCCAGCAGCCCCAGTTTCAGCCCAAGCCACTGCTGTGTCGAAATTTCCGAAAGGGTTCTGTCCTACAACGTCTGTATTGTAGCGGTCTCTCAGGTGGGACTGGAAGTAGCGGCGATTGCACGTCTCGTTGGAATAGCAAAGCGACCCACTCTCCAGGAACACCACCCACTTTTTATCCGCAGCAGTGTCTGGCTGGCGATGGAAGAATCCTGCACGAGTGAAGTCATTACACAGTGCAGAGTCATCGTCCGTTATTTTCCATACTAACTCAGCATCGTTGACAACAACGACATAGAACAGCACAGTGGCAAATAGTAAAAATGTTTCCATTGCTCCTGCCGCACGCACGGTTGTTTAGCACTGTTATAACAATTGTGCGCATGCGCTTATCTCCACTAATCACCCGCAATTGTGCGCATGCGCTGGTTAGTGGTCACACGGCCACCGCTAAAGATCCTACACATCTATGTGTCAAATATCTACTCTTCTCTGATGTATGTCTCTGGTAGAAACGATTCTGACCAATCACTAGTTCCAGGAGACTGTTGGATATTTGTAGAAATATCAGTATATACCCTTAAAAAATCTCTTTCTGGCTACATCCTGCATCCACCTCATCACGTTAGCTGCAGCACACCTTTTCAGCTCTGCATATCTGACTACAAAGCGAGCATACCAGACTGCAAGCCATCACATAGACTTGCACCAGAGTGATTTTCGAAATACATCATATGGCCTCTCTGAATTATTAGCATCTATACTATGCTCATTGTCTATAACACTGTATACATTATACTAATCCATTTTTAGTTCCAGCTAAGTATCAGACATGGGAGTCAGCGACATATTCATTTTCTTTGGGTATTGGTTCAATTTCATTGCCTAGCAGTTGTGGTGGCTTGGGAGACCCGTCCAAACCCTGGCCCAGTTGTCTGGGGGAACCATCGAGAAACTGGCTCCTCCACTGATGCCATGCAGATGCCGGGGGACTCAGAGGTGGCCCAGTTTGGAGTTGACTCTTCATCGCTGGCCTCTGATTTCAAAATGGCACGGGCATACTGAGACACCTTCTTGTGTATAGGAAGAGTAATTGTTGAACGTATGGTTGAGTCTCCACCGTTGCCTTTAGTAGTAGCATTCTCAGCAGCCTTGCTCAGTGGTCTTCTGGCTTTGGGAGTCGAATTAGAGCGTCTAAGTGTATCACCTTCACTCTGTTCCCTCAGTACCAGATGTGTGGCCCACACTCGATTCAGTAGTTGCTCTCGGCGCTTCTGGAGGTCAACTTTCTCCAGAGAGACCCTGTGCTTTGGTTTCCACACAGTGTGTGGCTTGTTGTTGAGGTAGCTGGAAGTAGTCTTCACCAAGGTGCTCCTCTTTTGAGCGAGATCGTCTTTTGCTCCTGTCTTTGACACCTCCTCATGACTGCTCTCTTGGGGACCCATCGATATTTTCCTGAAGAGCAACAACAAATCATAAACCGATGCTATCGATGTAGTTTCAGAATGTAGTTTAATGTGTCGTTGTGGTGCCATACTCACTTGATCACATGTTTGAGCTGCTTTTCAACTCGGTACAGTTGAAGGTTTCGCACCCAGTTACTCACCACAGCCATAGCCAGGAAGAACAAAGTCATGAGCATCATAACCTATAATGAATGGATAAGTATTACAAGCAATGTAATAACATTCATTGGCAGCAAAGGTTACTGACCACTATGTTGAGGTAAGGGTTAGTGTCAATGAAGTCAAAAGTAGTCAAGACGTAACCCCCTGAGAATGGATAGCACTCAAATTCTGAGCCACCATCTCTCTCACAGTCTGTCTCATAGTCGGATAAAAGTAGGACAGCTGAGGCTGCTAGTCCGTAGTAACTGGGATTGATGAAGATTATCCAGCGATACCTAGAAAAACCGATAAGTGGATAAACAGCCTACGAGTTTATGAGGTTTCTCACCAGATTGGAATGCTACTGATTGGTATAAGGAATCCACTAAAGAATCCAGCTACGGCTGACAGGAGGGTGTAAAGATGGGTGTTGTAATCAAATGTGAGAAAGAACCAAACAACTATGGCACCCCAGGTCTGATTGAGTGCAATGTTTGCTACTGTCAGAAAAAAGAACTGTTCCAAACTCCACTGCCTGATATCCACCAACTGCAACAAGAGAGAAAATGACATTGGACTGGTAAAGCTGAACATGTGGGGGTTCACCACAATGTACAATGCACTTCAAATGAGAGTCCCATGCGTCACTTGCGGAGCACTTAGGCCATGCAGTCCGTTGCATTAACCATAACGCAAAGTATAGGACCTTTTGTGTCAAGAGGGTTTTAAAGGCAAAGAAAACTTCTAAATGGTAGATATTCACCAAGAGATAGAGAACTGCAGAACTGGAGACGATGGTGATGAAACCAAGAAAGAAGAGCCTGACAGCTGGTTGGATCACGAGGTCGGTTGCTCTCCCCGCACCGTCAGCATGTTCGAATTTGTAAATCACTTGACCCTTGTAGTAGAGGTTGTATAGTGTTGGATACAGGAAGAGGCTATTGGCAAAACTGAAGAGCCCAAATGCAGAGATGACGAGAAATGGCTCTCTTGTCTGGAAGTACACTGTCCCTGCAAGGAATTGATGCTTTTAAAGTACAAACCAGTCGAAATAAGAATTTTACCTAACACAAGACTGAAACCCAAGTAGGTCAGTGGTAGGTATGAAGTAAAGAGGTATGACTCTCTCTTTGCCTCTCGAGCCTCATAAGCTGCCAGCCGCTCGATGGCATAGTTATGTGTGCGGCCTGCTGATCTTGTTCCACACAAGATTTCCCTGGATGATTGATACAAGTTTTATAGTGTGTGATCTATATTATGTTGCCGATAATCATACCTCCACTGTTGTAGCCTATTGCTCTTTTGAGTTAGATTTTGGCCTTTCTCCTTGATGGCAGCCTCACTCACTGCCTTCCTTACTAGCTCTGGCTCTCCACTATCGTCATAGTACTTGCTGACAATCTTTCTCATCTCTCTGTCTCCCAGCATGTCCATTATGAGATCTGTTGTGGAGGAACCATCTTGTCATGCAGAAGTTGTTACTGTCTCTATGCTTGCTCACCAGCTGGGTTGCGGTCTTCAAGAGGCTGGCTGCAAAAGCTTGGAAAGGTAGATTTGAGAGCACTGACAAACACTTCATATGCTATATCTGGAACCCCGTGATAAGCAACCTAAAGTATGATTTGAACCATTGTGCAAAAAGGATGTCGCAATTTTTTTACCTTTCCTTCTGAGAGAATCGTAACTTTGTGGAACATGTGGAATATCTCAAGTCTTGGCTGGTGGATGGTGAGCACTACAGTTCTATTGGAGGCTGCCAGAGCATTCAGATGGGTTAGGACTTCAATGGCTGATGTAGCATCTAGGCCAGAGGTGGGTTCATCAAGGAAGATGACACTGGGTAGCCTCAGCAGTTGCAGAGCTACAACAAGTCTTCGTTTCTGTCCCCCACTCAGTCCTGGTCCTGTAGCTCCTCCTACAACAGTGTCAGCTAGATCCATCAAACCAGTCTGTCAGGAGAGAGAGAGCAACTCGACAGGTTATCTCACCAATGGACCAGTGAGAGGTCTCACCACTTCTATGACTTGCTCCACTCTCTGGAACTTCTCTCTGCTGCTGATGTGGAGCTTGACCCATGCTGCTAGAGTCAGGTTCTCTCTTACTGTCAGCTCCTCATAGTAAGGAATAGCCAGCTGGAGCACATACCCCGTGTTGCCAATGTACCAGTTTTGGTTTTCTTCAAGTGGAAGCCCATTCACGAAAACATCTCCCTGGCCAAAGGCACACATAACGGTGAAACTGTGTTTGGAATTTCTGCTGTTGCGAACTCACAGTTGTAGTTCCAGTGTTACGACGTCCTGTCAGAATATCTAGCAATGTTGTCTTTCCACTCCCTTAACAACAGTAATAGGAAGGCACTCTCATGTAAAATTAGTCATCACTGCGATACAACCATACCTGATGCTCCCATGATTGCATTCAGTTCACCAGGATTGAAGTAGACTGATATTCCGTTGAGAATATTAATCTTTTTAGTACCCAGGATCGATTGCTATAATTATTTGATAGAGGAGAAAACCTCTTAACTTAGATTACCAGTTTCTTATAATAACTTACAAGCTTTCCACACTGTGATGGGTCATCAACTATAAGATAATGATTGTGTGTAGCTAATTACTTTGAATGAAAGGGTTTTGCACAAACCTTTGTTAGACAAACTGAGGTTGCTAACACTTTGTCCACCATTCTGCCTGTCCTGCAAGTCTCCCAGAACCACCGGCGAGTGTGTCTCTCTCTCTTCTGATCTCCGCTTCAAATTCTCATGAACAGTGACGTAGTAATGGAGGTCCAGACAAGCCACTGAGATAGCCTCTTCATCAGTACAGCTGGGAAACTGTGAAAAAGAAGTTCAGTTTTGATGCATTAGCACGGTAAAGGAGATGGATAACACCTGTATAAAGTGAAGAGAGGAAGTGACTTTATGGTGTGAAATACTTAAAAGGCACTGTATAGTCACTTATGCATATGTGTTTGAGAACGGAGTTCCTGCAAAACTTTGTGTGAAGTTCTGCAAAACCAACATCATATTTGTAGTGCTGCCAGCCATCCTGGAGTGGCCTCCAAATATGGCACCGCCAGCCTTGGCAATCTGACTCTGTCAGAGTTGTTGGTGCATTGGATGTCATCCACGTATATACCAATCAGGTTGCTAATATGTAATACGTGACTCGAGAGCATTCTTTGGTGCTGAAAGTATCCTCTGTTGAAGCTTTAGCTAAGGCTGCTTTGTAGATATGAAAACAGCATCTGGGGCTATGTTTTGGTAAAGAGCCCTTTCAAACTGATTACTCCTCTCCGTAGCAACATAGTGATATTGACACTGAACAGTATCTCACCTTTCTTTCAGAGGCAAAAATATCAAAGGTGTTCACAAACTTCTGCTGTCTCCACTGTAGTTGCTTACGCCACAAAATGCAGTAGAGCTACACGCAATAGTGGAAAGAGGAGTTTTGTAAAGGCATTGCATTGGTGCATGGTCCACACTCACTTTCATTACAACACTAGCAATTGAGATGAGTAGCACAATGAGAGCAGCAGTTATTCTGGTGCCCATGGACCAAGCCTCGGCTGCTGTATTGCCCACTTGAAGAACAATCTCCTCAGGACAGGAGTTGCTGCAGTGTGGACTTGAGCACTCGTCACGAAATGCCACACCCTCTCTCCCGTCCGACACATTCCTATACCAGTAGTCAATTGCATCTCTTATGGTGTAGCCTACACCCTCATAGTAGCCAAGAACGTGGCCATTCGATATTCCAGAAGAAACACTGTGCCTGTATAGAATGAAGAATTGCCATGTGTAATGTCAATGACATCGTATTATAATATTATTACACCTACCGGAATTCTGCAACTGATAAAGTGAACTCTACATCTTCTCTCCCTAACAATGCACCCTCTCCACTAAGACTGGAATCAGCAAAGTACATGTGCTGAAAACACTGAGTGGCAAAGTAGCTGAATTTTAATTGTGAATGAGCAGCAGCACTGGCTGTCTCAATAATTGAAGCATTCATGGCACCACCATACTCTCCCACTGTAGTCACGAAATCTAGTGCCAATCCTACATCACTTACAGCAGACAATCCCAATACCGGAATTGACAGAAGAAATATGTCATAAAGACTGGTTATGGCAATGAGTGGAACGTCTCTTGGAAAGTAAGGCTCGCCGGTTGTAATGCTACTCTGAGTGAGAATGCATTGGGCTATGAGACAGCAGGGAGGGCCCAGTGTATTATCAGAACAAGCTTCACTTGAGCTCAGTCTTAAAACACTACTGTTAACGCCACCAGATGCAACTTCTTGTTCAATGCCATCTTGAAAGTTGATGAACCAGGACGAGTCGGTGATGACTTTGAGACTGACGTTCTGGAAGGTGTCTCTCACCCACTTTGCTGAGTTGAGAACACCCACTCCCCCAGCACTGGAGCCAACCAGAACAATCTCTGAGGCTGTCTTCAGGTTGTACAGTCTGTCAAGAGTCTGCAGTACTGAGCGGAAAATGGTCTGTCCTCGAAATGTGAACTGGAGATCTTCACTTGTTGGATTGTATCTGAAGCAGTCCTGGTCCCAGCAGTCACACTGTTGATCTTGTCTCTCATCACTGCCCAGCCACAGATCACTGCTACAGTAAGGCACCAGTACATGACCATGGTTGTAGAATGTTGGGTTTTCTCTGTGGTCACTGCTCAAAATGTCTCTTCCCTCAACTGACAAGTTATCAGCGTCACTAAAATATTGAGTTTCATTTCTGAAACAGTAGAGAGACGTCATGAGAGGGTTTACAACTTCACTCAGTGGCTGTCCAGCAGCGCCAGTTTCAGCCCAAGCCAGTTCTGTGTCGAAGTCTCCATAGCTCAATGCATTGGCCTCGGATTCGCCACTGTTGTAGCGTTCCCTGATGTGCGACTGGAAGTAGCGGCGATTGCACGTCTCGTTTGACTGGCAAAAAGATCCACTATCCAGGTATATCACCCATATGAGGTCTGGGCCGCTCGGTTTCTGATGGAAAAAACCAGCGCGGGTAAAGTCGTTGCACCGCGCGGCTTCATCTTCCGCAAAATTCCAGGTGAGTGTAGCTCCGCACCCTGCAGTAACTGCACATAGCAAGACGATCGTAACAAGCATGATTTTGCATAAGTGTGCCTCTAGCTCTCACCTTTTATATAGTGTCGCACGCCACGCGGGCTCACGTCGTCGTGGCGCCTTGTGCGCGCGCGTATGGCTCTCGCGCGTCCCTCCCGTCCATTAAAAAAAATCTAGAGAAAAGTATTGCATATAGAGACTGAATTTTGGGATTATTAACATTTTTGTCCATTACTCGGCCATACTATATGCTGTGCACATGAGAAACATATCAAAATGATCAGCAATCTTTTCTGATCAAAGTGATCAAATTAATATTAAACCATGTGATCGTCATGTGACACAAATGGCTAGGTCTTTCAGAAAATCGGTTAGGCTGATTATTTCCACACCCCTGGGAGTTAAGACTTGAAACTTGTTAGGCACAATCTTAGTCTACTGGTGCATCTTCTGGGCCAGAAAAATTTCACCGCTCCAATACCGTTAGTGTGAAATATGGCAAAACAGCCATTTTAGAGGTCCCCAGGCGTTAGGGGCTGATTATACAGCCATCTTTACTAGTTAAGGACCCAGATTTCGAATATGACATCCAAAATGAATGTACTATCGATGTAAACTTACTCCGTTGCGCTGCCATCACGCGCGACGGAAAAATGAGCCCGTCTTCCCAGAAACGCGCACCTCTGAACGGCGCGCCCTATCTAGAAAGCGACCGACGTCACGTCGACCTTTAACCTCGAGCACGCTCCAAAGTGCGATGATGGAAAGCGGAAACGTGAGTACTCCAGCAATGCCCTTGGCGACGGTCCCTGCGGCCACAACAACCCGCTACTTCCACTGGTACATCACGCATCAGAGGAGAAAGGCGTGCTGCCACCGCGGCCTCTAGGTGTCCCAAGAGTCGTCTCCCTCGCTGTAGTTGCACCTCTACGCAGTTGGCATCGTACGCGTTGTACGGCTGCCTACGCAGAACCACGCGCTCTCCGCGACACGCTCTCAACCCACGGCAGTCGTGGAACTTCACGCCTTTCACCTCCGCCACGAAAGACGCCATTGTATATACGTAATGCGCGCTGTGCACGTGGTTCCAACACGTCACTTTAGAACATCACGAGATCTTTGTACGTCATCACCAGGCAAGATGGCGGCCAAAATCGGGGGTTTCTGGGAAGACGGGCTCATTTTTCCGTCGCGCGTGATGGCAGCGCAACAGAGTAAGTTTGCATCGAAAGTACATTCATTTTGGATGTCATATTCGACTTCTGGGTCCTTAACTAGTAAAGATGGCTGCATAATCAGCCTAACCCCTGGGGACCTCTAAAATGGCTGTTTTGCCAGATTTCACACTAACGGTATTGGAGCGGTGAAATTTTTCTGGCCCAGAAGATGCGCCAGTAGACTAAGATTGTGCCTAACAAGTTTCAAGTCTTAACTCCCAGGGGTGTGGAAATAATCAGCCTAACCGATTTTCTGAAAGCCCTTTGGCAGCCGTTTGTGTCACATGACGATCACATGGTTTAATACTAGTAGGTGAATGCACTGCATTTTTGGCGAGCGGGAGCGATCTAACGATTGTGTGCATGCGCAAAAAAGCCTGTGTAGTAACTAGGTAGTCGACCCTCTCTCTCCTCGGCAGACTCGGCGGCAATTCGCCTTGTCTGATAGCTTCGGATCTGTTGGAGCCTTGCCTGTTGCGTTTCCTCTGATTCCGCAGCACGTGTAGCTCTTGCTCGTACACGACTTCTCGCTAGTCGTGCTTCCCTTTCTTCCGCTGTTTCCGTAGCCAGGCGTTGCCTTGCCCGTTCCCTATCACGCAGTCGCCGTCGAGAAAGACGAGCCTCTCTTTGCTCAGAAGTCTGACAGGCACGACGTTCTCTTTCCCTTTCCCGTCGACGGCGAAGGGCATCTCCTCTAGACCGATCCATCGCAGAAACTGTGGTTGGCTTCCTCGAGTTATATACACGAGAGAAATATACGGTGTAAAAATTTGAAATGTTTTTCGGATAAAAAGAAGCGCGTGGACGGACGGTCGAAATCGCGCCGTTCGTATATACCACCACTAGGTTAGCTCGCTCCCGCTCGCCAATTAATTTGATCACTTTGATCAGAAAAGATTGCTGATCATTTTGGTATGTTTCTCATGTGCACAGCATATAGTATGGCCGAGTAATGGGCCAAAATGTAAAAAATCCGAAAAAATTCAATCTCTATAATTATGCAAAGCACTGTACAGTATATAGGGATGGTGTCATGGCATCTTTGCTGTGTAATGACCCCTTGTTTCTTCCTTTTTGGTGATTCAAGCCATCCCCCTCGTTTTGAAAAAATGATTTTTCCACTTGTATACCTACTATCGACCAGTTTTACGTGCGAAAATACGCCCGCGTTATCCGGAAATGCCCCGGTAATTTACAGTAGTATCCGCGTCTTCCTCGCAAAGGGCAGAGAAAGCGTTTGACGAGGAGAAAGCGCTCGAAGTTGGCCCCTGCTGTTTTGTTGACTCCGACGAAGCGGTCTTCCAAGAGGAAGGTATGGACAGACGCCCAAATGCAGGCAGCCATTCATGCTGTTAATTTCGCTGTATGCACTTTACTCATGACAAGCTAAGACTTGTAGTATGGCATGTTCTGTACATACTATTATGCTTCAAAACATTGTTGAGAAGTGGTACGTATATACATGGTCTCAACCAAGCACAGCTCATTGTCTTATGTAAACAACAGGTGGGCAGAGTACCCCTAGTAGTCCTAAGCCGATAATTGTACTGCGTATTTGGTACGCGCGGACGATAGTTGGCTTCCTACGCTATACGGCTAGCTATGCCTTTCTTCTGGATTCGGATGACCATTTCACTCTGCTTATCCCCAAACAGAAGCTATGCTACTGTCAAACTTGAGCATGTCTCAACAAAGTAGAAAGGCAAGGCAAAGCAAACAAGTCAGCTACACCCAAGACCCTGGGTCGGATTCGAACCCTGCAGTCTAGGCGAGCGCTCTACCAACTGAGCTACCGGCAAATAGTAGGGGTTCAAAAATCTACAACACATACAACACAAAGGCAAAACTCAAACCACTGTGCTATGGCACAGTATACTCTCACTCAGTATGTAGGAGCAGACCGGGGTAATTAACCCACCACAAGACGCTCAACTCCAAACTGAGTATATTATGCATGTGTCAACAATGAGGTATATAGAAGGGCAAGGCGAAGCAAAAAGGTCAACCATAATATGCAGGTTTACTGAATACTTAGCTACCCTGGACTGGGCCCTATATTAGCAAAGAGCTACACTTTTTTCTTACACTTGTCTCCACAGGAAAAACTGGAAATTATTCTTTATGACTTGCTGTTGTGCTAGATGCTGGGTGCATCCACATGCAGTTGTTGAAGGGACATATAAAAGGGTAGAATAATTATGCCTAGTATATTATAGCAAGGCATAATTATGTGGCTCATGTCAGGACTCCTCCAAAAAGGCTTCAAGTCGTGCTGAAGAACATTGGCGTAAATACCCACGCAACAATTCTTATATACTTGTTTATTAAGTCAAATTCTTGTAATCCAATCTCCTGACACCTTTTGGTATTGCTTTCAGATAAAGATATTTTGTTGCATTAAAGCGTTGTGAAATGTGTCTACCACCCAACTCTTTTCATGGTAGTGTCCGAGTCTGAGGTTGGAAAACATGTTCATGCTGTATATATAGACAGTTAGCTAGCTACCTGAAAAGTATGGTAGTTGACAAAGGTTTTGCAGGGAAATTTCAGTTCGATAGCTACAGTTCCTCTTGTACTTCATCAATAGCAGTCATTTCAGCCGGTCTGCTCGCAGGTTGCCTGTTTGTTGAGAATTGTCGCCTCCACTTTCGAAGTGAGTTTCTAACTCTGGCCTTTCGTTCATCCGTCATGCTTCCGTCTTCCACTTGAGCTGCTGCAGCATACTGAGAAATAATGTCATGGAACTCGACTCCAGATGAGAGATTCTCTGGAGTGTTTCTAGCACCGTCCCTGATGGCTTTTCGCCACATGATCGGTTTATCATCGGGTGAGGTGTCACTGCCACTGGCTTCATCCCAGCTAAACTCTCTCTGGACACCGAGCACCTGCTGTGTTGCCCACACTCGATTTTGTAGTTGCTTTCTTCGCTCAAGAAGGCTTCTCCTGCTCTGCGCTGGTTGCAGCGAGATATCTCGTTTCCAGACAGTGTATGCCTGATCGTCGTTCAGGTAGAACGTCTCTAGTCTCTTAAGAGATCTGCCTGGTGTTGCTGGTATACCAGTGGAGGAAGATGTTGTACTGTTTTCATTTTCCACATTTTCCTGCAGTGTTGCTTCCATTTTCTGTGTTTCTTGGGACATCTTTAAGAGTTTTCTAATGCATACATAATCATAACAATAATATTGCAAAGAGTATTTTTTCATCACTTACTCGAGCGTCAGTTTAAACAGCTTCCTGATTCTGCGCAATTCAAGATATCTGACCCAGTTACTCACTCCAGCCATCACCAAGAAGAAGAGGGTCATGCTTAATAATATCTGCACAAGGTAAAACGATTTTATTAGTGTTCACAGGAATGCCTAAAATCATGCTAAAGAGGGTAAAAAGTTATGATATTTAGCAGGTGAAACAAAACTTGTCAATCTGTTCAAAATGTTGTATGAGAATTTGGCACTGTAACATGAAGTAATACACTTGCATGCACGCACACACACATGTATGCCACGCAATGTCCTTTGGGCTCACCACGATATTTTGGTAGGGATTGACAGTGCTGAAATCAAATATAGCCAATGTATAGTCTCCGGAAGCAGTGTAGCACTCTAGTTCTGAGCCACCATCTCTCTCACAGTCACTCTCAAAGTCAGAGAGCAGTATGACTGCTGAGGCTGAAAACCCATAGTAGTTGGGGTTGATGAAACTCATCCAGCGGTACCTTTCAAAGTCAAAAATCAAATGCAATAGACAGTTAACTTTGGAGCAATTTACCCCCACGGGATATCATTTATGGGTATGAAGAATCCACTGGTGAATCCTGCCACTGCCGACAATACGGGAGAAAGCCGAAGAGATTTTTTGGGGAATGTGAGAATGAGCCAAATGAGTAGAGCTGTCCACGTCTGGTTCAGGGCTACGTTGACTAATGCAATCTGAAAAAGCTCCACTGGATCCCAGCGACTAGCCTCGACTAGCTGAAATGTGGTGATATAATAATGTGATCAGCTTATGGACATTATAATCACTCACAAGAAAGTAAAGGACACCGGCACTGATGATGACAGGGAAGAAGGCCATTGAGATGAACCTGACAAATGGCTGGATCACAAGGTCAGTGGCCCGTCCTGCCCCGTCAGCATGTTCAAATGCGTATATCTCAAGAGCTCGTACATAGAACGGGTACAGAGCTGGGAACATGAAGAGTGCACTGGCCACAGAGTAGACACAGAATCCCGACATTATCAGGAATGGTGTTGTGGTCTGGTAGTAAACATTGCCTGTGGATTATAATAGGGTCAGAAAACCAATATTTACGGATCTACAACCTTTTGTACCTAAAAGGAAGCTGTATCCGAAGAAGATGATGGGCAAGTAGAGCAGTGTTAGAAAGTTTGTTCTTTTCATCGCTCGAACCTCTAGAGCCGCCAAACGACTGACAAACGTGTTATGTATACGGCCAACACGTCTGGTTCCTAACCTGCAGTATGTAAAACACTAATCACAAGCCACTCTGCAGAGAGCCCACCCATCTTATGTGCTTATATGCAAGTATCGTGTAGAGTGGATCACTTATAGACGCTTTTGTTGTTCACCTACTGTAAGAAAGACCTATTTAAAGAGATATCGTTCAGCAGGCTGATATGATATTATGATATGAAGGATCAATGATCGTATGTTCCTTAGTTTTTTCTTTTGTAATTTTGTTCCCTGTGCATACAACATTAATGGGTTTGTGCGTTGCAAAGTTGCACGCAATTCAGATGACTAGGTAAGCTTCCTAATTTCAACGTTATGTATGATAGTGCATATGTGATCGCATGAATGACAATACTCATCACAGCGCTTGAATTTCCGCTGCTCATACACAGGAATACGAATGCCTAAAGTACAGTAATTATTAACCCTCGGCGCGCATGTGCAGCGAGGGTTACGGTAGTTGGGTCTGTCTGTCTGTCTGTTACTCGACATCTCATTTCTGGAGTGTTTGTTCGTCTCACAAACGATACGACCTACTGAACGGGCAACGAAGGTCAGAATATTTGTGGGGTTTTCCGTGAAAATGCTCCGTTGCAAAGCTAGAGCGCTTCAAGCATTGTACGGCTAAAGCGTTGTCGGCCATTTTTATCGCTGCGGAAAATGCGCATGCGCTTATATTTAGCACAGGCTAGGCTAGCTTACCTAGACCGGGTCCGCTTGCTCTGTGTATCTTGAAGGCACAAGAAGTCACAACGAATGGCGTGTATCGACTCTCGCATGCTATCTACTACTGTAGCAGGCCCGTGTCAGACTCTCTGCAAGCTACTAGCGGGAGACCACGAGTAAACGCAAAACGCATACTATTAGCGGTACCGCGCATGCGCAGTTCGCCGAGGGTTGGCACTTTAGTGCTTTTCACTGTAAGAGAAATAAGGCTCAAACGTGGCAACAACTCCCATGACAGGCATCTGGACTTCATTCCTGGTCATACCACATTACACATTATATTTTAAGTCACTTGGGCTTCTGTGTGACCACATTTCTTTAATTAGTCATTGCCTGGGCTTCCCTCATGACCACAGCCAATACTGACCTAAGTTGCTGGAGCCTTGATTCGCATCTACTGGCATGTTTCTGTTCTCCATTGAAGATGTGTAGCTCTTTCTGGCGTGCTTCGTGAACTGCCGTCCTAACCATTTCATCTCCTCCACTGTCTTCATAGTACTTGTAGATGATTTTCCTCATCTTCTTATCTCCCAGCATATCCATGATGACATCTGTGGAACATTGGCTGGTGTAGTATTGGTCATGTATGATATATCTAGCTACCTGCTGGGTTGTGATCTTCCAAAGGTGGAATACTCAATTCTTGACTGAGAAAGGTGCGCTGAATAGCATTGACAAACACCTCATACGCCTTCTCGGGAGCACCATGATAAGCAACCTGAGTGTGAGGGGAAATGAGATATTGTGTGGAATACAATACGTATGGAAACATCTCACTTTTCCTTCAGAGAGTAGTATGATTCTGTGGAACATGTGAAAAATCTCCAGTCTTGGCTGGTGGATAGTGAGCACTACAGTTCTATTCGAGTCTGCAAGATCATTCAGATGGGTCAGCAGTTGAGTTGAAGAAGCCGAGTCAAGTCCTGTTGTGAAAATGAGTCAACTTCATGCAAAGTTGAGCTGCATTACAATTACCAGAGGTGGGTTCATCAAGGAAGATGACACTGGGTAGCTTCAGCAGTTGCAGAGCTACAACAAGTCTTCGCTTCTGCCCGCCACTCAGTCCTGGTCCTGTAGCTCCTCCTACAACAGTGTCAGCTAGATCCATCACACCAGTCTGTCAGGAGAGAGAGAGCAACTCGACAGGTTATCTCACCAATGGAGGTCTCACCACTTCCATGACTTGCTCCACTCTCTGGAACTTCTCTCTGCTGCTGATGTGGAGCTTGACCCATGCTGCTAGAGTCAGGTTCTCTCTCACAGTCAGCTCCTCATAGTAAGGAACGGCCAGCTGGAGCACATACCCCATGTTGCCGATGTACCAGTTTTGGTTTTCTTCAAAAGGAAGCCCATTCACAAACACATTTCCCTATAACAGATCGTATGCTAAATATGAAGCAGGCATGTATAGCAATAGCACTCACATCTACAGTGCTAGACTTGCGACGTCCTGTCAGCCGATCTAGGAGTGTTGTTTTCCCACTCCCTAAGAGAAGTACGAACTTAAGTCGCAAAAATAGGATCTATAATACCTGAAGGTCCCATAATGGCTATCAGCTCCCCTGGGTTGAAATAAGCTGAAACTCCATTCAGAATTCTCTTTTTTTTAGTGCCTAGGAGCCTTTTCTGAGGTAAAAACACATGAGGCATAGACTTCTTGGTGTTATTGCTGAACAACTTACAATTCTACTTGTATTTCCCGTCTGGTGTGAACCTAAAATTAATTATCACATACATACAAAGTGAATGTTTATCATGGCAGTAACTGACATGAATTTACACACTGAATAAGAACAAAAACTCACTCTCTGTCAAGTCAGTGTCATCTTCTTTGTCATGCAAGTCTCCCAGAGCCATTGGCAAGTGTGTTTCTTTCTGTTCCTGTCTCTTCTTCAGATTTTCATGAACAGTGACATAGTAGTGGAGGTCCAGACAAGCCACTGAGATAGCCTCTTCATCAGTACAGCTGGGAAACTGTGACCAATCCAAAAATTCTATATACTACGGAAATGAGCTAAACCCTTTTGCCCCTTTAGAGTTGAAGAAGTGGGATTAGTTAGGTTATTGTGAGAAACGTTCTTGAAGCCCATCACGGGTGTCCAATTCGAACCCGCTACCCTTGCACTATGAACGCAGTGCACTAACTGCCAGACCAGAATATCTATAGTCTTCCAGGGCCAGAGGCCATATTTAGAACTTCTGACACTTAACACCATGAGCTTGTGGCTATTCACCACCTGAGTTGGAACTGCAAGAAGACCCAGCAGCCAGGATGTGGTGCGTTTGTGTGTAACTGCTAATACAAAGCAATGCACATTTGGTGGAAACCCCATTTACCTTTCTCTTGGCTGAGAGTGTGGGGCCCTGAAGGGCACCATCAAGAAATTTCTGCTGCTTTCTTTGCAGTAGATTGGACCATACAACCCAATACAACTGTGAGGTGCACATAAATTGTGATGAGCTGTAAAATTATAATGGCTTATACCTTTAGTACAAGACACACAGCTGCAGTTAAGAGAACCACAACAGCGATGACTGCTATGATTGGTTTGGACCATTTTCTTCCCTGCTGTGATGCCAAAACAATCTCCTCTGGGCAGGAGTTGCTGCAGTGTGGACTTGAGCACTCATCACGAAAGGCCACACCCTCTCCCTTGTGCGACACGTTCCTATACCAGTAGTCGATTGCATCTCTTATAGTGTAGCCTTCACCCTCATAGTAGCCAAGTGGTGGGCCATTCCATACTCCTGACTGGATCCTGTGTCTGCAAATAGCGAAAATACCTCGAGATAATTATTATACTATGTATAATACACTGTGTTTATAAATTCTTGGACTATCTTGATTAGCTTACCGGAAAACTGCGATTTTTTGAGCAATCTCCACTCTTCCTGGTCCTAACAGTCCCCCTTCTTGTTGTAGAGAAGAAGTGGCAAAATATACGTGCTGAAAGCATTGTGAAGTGAAGTAACTGAAACCGAGCCCCATTCTCGAGGCAGCAATGCTAGTTTCAATGAGGGAAGCATTCATTGCACCACCGTATTCTCCCACTGTTGATATGAATTGGACTGCTAGGTTTGCAGCACTGACCTCAGCATCATTGAAAACATCAAGTCCAGCAAGAGAGTCTTCCAGAAGGAAGATGTCATAGATACTAGTCAGTGCAAACACTGGGACATCTTGAGGGAAATATGAAACTCCAGTGAGCCTATTTCTTTCCAGCAGAATGCACTGAGCCGAGAGACAGCAAGGATAGCCCAGCCTGGCGTCAATACAAGCCTCATTTGCGCTTAGAATAGCCACAAGACTGTTTGTAGTGCTTGTGTTTGTTAGTAAATTTCCAGATTCTCGGTTAATACCGTCTTGAAAGTTGATGAACCAGGACGAGTCGGTGATGACTTTGAGACTGGCGTTCTGGAAGGTGTCTCTCACCCACTTTGCTGAGTTGAGAACACCCACTCCCCCAGCACTGGAGCCAACCAGAACAATCTCTGAGGCCGTCTTAAGGTTGTACAGTCTGTCAAGAGTCTGCAGTACTGAGCGGAAAATGTTCTGTCCTCGAAATGTGAACTGGAGATCTTCACTTGTTGGATTGTATCTGAAGCAGTCCTGGTCCCAGCAGTCACACTGTTGATCTTGTCTCTCATCACTGCCCAGCCACAGATCACTGCTGCAGTAAGGCACCAGTACATGACCATGGTTGTAGAATGTTGGGTTTTCTCTGCGGTCACTGCTCAAAATGTCTCTTCCCTCAACTGAAAAGCTGTCAGTGTCACTGAAGAAGCGGGTTTCGTTTCTGAAGCAGTACGGAGACGTCATGAGAGGATTGACTACGTCAGTCAGTGGCTGCCCAGCAGCTCCAGTTTCAGCCCAAGCAACGGCTGTGTCGAAATTTCCGAAAGGGCTCTGTCCTAAAACGTCTGTATTGTAGCGGTCTCTCAGGTGGGACTGGAAGTAGCGACGATTGCAGGTCTCGTTGGAATAGCAAAGCGACCCACTCTCCAGGAACACCACCCACTTTTTATCCGCAGCAGTGTCTGGCTGGCGATGGAAGAATCCTGCACGAGTGAAGTCATTACACAGTGCCGAGTCATCGTCCGTTATTTTCCATACTAACTCAGCATCGTTGACAACAACGACATAGAACAGCACAGTGGCAAATAGTAAAAATTTTGCCATTGCTCCTGCCGCTGGAGCTTCGCTTCTCCACTGCACTATTATACAATCACCCGCAATTGTGCACATGCGCTTATCTCCACTAATCACCCGCAATTGTACGCTGCGCTAAAACGCCCGTCCGCGCTATATAGTGCCACCGCTAAAGATCCTACACATCTATGTGTCAAATATCTACTCTTCTCTGATGTATGTCTCTGGTAGAAACGATTCTATTCTGACTCAATCACTAGTTCCAGGAGACTGTAGGATATTTGTAGAAATATCAGTATATACCCTTAAAGCGTTGTGAAATGTGTCTACCACCCAACTCTTTTCATGGTAATGTCCGAGTCTGAGGTTGGAAAACATGTTCATGCTGTATATATAGACAGTTAACTAGCTACCTGAAAAGTATGGTAGTTGACAAAGGTTTTGCAGGGAAATTTCAGTTCGATAGCTACAGTTCCTCTTGTACTTCATCAATAGCAGTCATTTCAGCCGGTCTGCTCGCAGGTTGCCTGTTTGTTGAGAATTGTCGCCTCCACTTTCGAAGTGAGTTTCTAACTCTGGCCTTTCGTTCATCCGTCATGCTTCCGTCTCCCACTTGAGCTGCTGCAGCATACTGAGAAATAATGTCATGGAACTCGACTCCAGATGAGAGATTCTCTGGAATGTTTCTAGCACCATCCCTGATGGCTTTTCGCCACATGATCGGTTTATCATCGGGTGAGGTGTCACTGCCACTGGCTTCATCCCAGCTGAACGCTCTCTGGACACCAAGCACCTGCTGTGTTGCCCACACTCGATTTTGTAGTTGCTTTCTTCGCTCAAGAAGGCATCTCCTGTTCTGCGCTGGTTGCAGCGAGATATCTCGTTTCCAGACAGTGTATGCCTGATCGTCGTTCAGGTAGAACGTCTCTAGTCTCTTAAGAGATCTGCCTGGTGTTGCTGGTATACCAGTGGAGGAAGATGTTGTACTGTTTTCATTTTCCACATTTTCCTGCAGTGTTGCTTCAATTTTCTGTGTTTCTTGGGACATCTTTAAGAGTTTTCTAATGCATACATAATCATAACAATAATATTATTGCAAAGAGTATTTTTTCATCACTTACTCGAGCGTCAGTTTAAACAGCTTCCTGATTCTGCGCAATTCAAGATATCTGACCCAGTTACTCACTCCAGCCATCACCAAGAAGAAGAGGGTCATGCTTAATAATATCTGCACAAGGTAAAACGATTTTATTAGTGTTCGCAGGAATGGCTAAAATCATGCTAAAGAGGGTAAAAAGTTATGATATTTAGCAGGTGAAACAAAACTTGGCAATCTGTTCAAAATGTTGTATGAGAATTTGGCACTGTAACATGAAGTAATACACTTGCATGCACGCACACACACATGTATGCCACGCAATGTCCTTTGGGCTCACCACGATATTTTGGTAGGGATTGACAGTGCTGAAATCAAATATAGCCAATGTATAGTCTCCGGAAGCAGTGTAGCACTCTAGTTCTGAGCCACCATCTCTCTCACAGTCACTCTCAAAGTCAGAGAGCAGTATGACTGCTGAGGCTGAAAACCCGTAGTAGTTGGGGTTGATGAAACTCATCCAGCGGTACCTTTCAAAGTCAAAAATCAAATGCAATAGACAGTTAACATTGGAGCAATTTACCCCCACGGGATATCATTTATGGGTATGAAGAATCCACTGGTGAATCCTGCCACTGCCGACAATACGGGAGAAAGCCGAAGAGATTTTTTGGGGAATGTGAGAATGAGCCAAATGAGTAGAGCTGTCCACGTCTGGTTCAGGGCTACGTTGACTAATACAATCTGAAAAAGCTCCACTGGATCCCAGCGACTAGCCTCGACTAGCTGAAATGTGGTGATATAATGTGATCAGCTTATGGACATTACAATCACTCACAAGAAAGTAAAGGACACCGGCACCGATGATGACAGGGAAGAAGGCCATTGAGATGAACCTGACAAATGGCTGGATCACAAGGTCAGTGGCCCGTCCTGCCCCGTCAGCATGTTCAAATGCGTATATCTCAAGAGCTCGTACATAGAACGGGTACAGAGCTGGGAACATGAAGAGTGCACTGGCCACAGAGTAGACACAGAATCCTGACATTATCAGGAATGGTGTTGAGGTCTGGTAGTAAACACTGCCTGTGGATTATAATAGGGTCAGAAAACCAATATTTACAGATCTACAACCTTTTGTACCTAAAAGGAAGCTGTATCCGAAGAAGATGATGGGCAAGTAGAGCAGTGTTAGAAAGTTTGTTCTTTTCATCGCTCGAACCTCTAGAGCCGCCAAACGACTGACAAACGTGTTCTGTATACGGCCAACACGTCTGGTTCCTAACCTGCAGTATGTAAAACACTAATCACAGGCCACTCTGCGGAGAGCCCACCCATCTTATGTGCTTATATGCAAGTATCGTGTAGAGTGGATCACTTATAGACGCTTTTGTTGTTCACCTACTGTAAGACCTATTTAAAGAGATATCGTTCAGCAGGCTGATATGATATGATATGATATGAAGGATCAATGATCGTATGTTGCTTAGTTTTTTCTTTTGTAATTTTGTTCCCTGTGCATACAACATTAATGGGTTTGTGCGTTGCAAAGTTGCACGCAATTCAGATGACTAGGTAAGCTTCCTAATTTCAACTTTATGTATGATAGTGCATATGTGATCGCATGAATGACAATACTCATCACAGCGCTTGAATTTCCGCTGCTCATACACTGGAATACGAATGCCTAAAGTACAGTAATTATTGTAAGAGAAATAAGGCTCAAACATGGCAACAACTCCCATGACAGGCATCTGGACTTCATTCCTGGTCATACCACATTACACATTATATTTTAAGTCACTTGGGCTTCTGTGTGACCACATTTCTTTAATTAGTCATTGCCTGGGCTTCCCTCATGACCACAGCCAATACTGACCTAAGTTGCTGGAGCCTTGATTCGCATCTACTGGCATGTTTCTGTTCTCCATTGAAGATGTGTAGCTCTTTCTGGCGTGCTTCGTGAACTGCCGTCCTAACCATTTCATCTCCTCCACTGTCTTCATAGTACTTGTAGATGATTTTCCTCATCTTCTTATCTCCCAGCATATCCATGATGACATCTGTGGAACATTGGCTGGTGTAGTATTGGTCATGTATGATATATCTAGCTACCTGCTGGGTTGTGATCTTCCAAAGGTGGAATACTCAATTCTTGACTGAGAAAGGTGCGCTGAATAGCATTGACAAACACCTCATACGCCTTCTCGGGAGCACCATGATAAGCAACCTGAGTGTGAGGGGAAATGAGATATTGTGTGGAATACAATACGTATGGAAACATCTCACTTTTCCTTCAGAGAGTAGTATGATTCTGTGGAACATGTGAAAAATCTCCAGTCTTGGCTGGTGGATAGTGAGCACTACAGTTCTATTCGAGTCTGCAAGATCATTCAGATGGGTCAGCAGTTGAGTTGAAGAAGCCGAGTCAAGTCCTGTTGTGAAAATGAGTCAACTTCATGCAAAGTTGAGCTGCATTACAATTACCAGAGGTGGGTTCATCAAGGAAGATGACACTGGGTAGCTTCAGCAGTTGCAGAGCTACAACAAGTCTTCGCTTCTGCCCGCCACTCAGTCCTGGTCCTGTAGCTCCTCCTACAACAGTGTCAGCTAGATCCATCACACCAGTCTGTCAGAGAGAGCAACTCGACAGGTTATCTCACCAATGGAGGTCTCACCATTTCCATGACTTGTTCCACTCTCTGGAACTTCTCTCTGCTGCTGATGTGGAGCTTGACCCATGCTGCTAGAGTCAGGTTCTCTCTCACCGTCAGCTCCTCATAGTAAGGAACGGCCAACTGGAGCACATACCCCATGTTGCTGAAGTACCAGTTTTGGTTTTCTTCAAAAGGAAGCCCATTCACAAACACATCTCCCTATAACAGATCGTATGCTAAATATGAAGCAGGCATGTATAGCAATAGCACTCACATCTACAGTGCTAGACTTGCGACGTCCTGTCAGCAGATCTAGGAGTGTTGTTTTCCCACTCCCTAAGAGAAGTACGAACTTAAGTCGCAAAAATAGCATCTATAATACCTGAAGGTCCCATAATGGCTATCAGCTCCCCTGGGTTGAAATAAGCTGAAACTCCATTCAGGATTTTCTTTGTTTTAGTGCCTAGGAGCCTTTTCTGAGGTAAAAACACACGAGGCATAGACTTCTTGGTGTTATTGCTGAACAACTTACAATTCTACTTGTATTTCCCGTCTGGTGTGAACCTAAAATTAATTATCACATACATACAAAGTGAATGTTTATCATGGCAGTAACTGACAGGAATTTACACACTGAATAAGAACAAAAACTCACTCTCTGTCAAGTCAGTGTCATCTTCTTTGTCATGCAAGTCTCCCAGAGCCATTGGCAAGTGTGTTTCTTTCTGTTCCTCTCTCTTCTTCAGATTTTCATGAACAGTGACATAGTAGTGGAGGTCCAGACAAGCCACTGAGATAGCCTCTTCATCAGTACAGCTGGGAAACTGTGACCAATCCAAAAATTCTATATACTACGGAAATGAGCTAACCCCTTTAAAGTTGAAGAAGTGGGATTAGTTAGGTTATTGTGAGAAATGTTCTTGAAGCCCATCACGGGTGTCCAATTCGAACCCGCTACCCCTGCACTATGAACGCAGTGCACTAACTGCCAGACCAGGATATCTATAGTCTTTCAGGGCCAGAAGCCATATTTAGAACTTCTGACACTTAACACCATGAGCTTGTGGCTATTTATCACCTGAGTTGGAATGGCAAGAAGACCCAGCAGCCAGGATGTGGTGTGTTTGTGTGTAACTGCTAATACAAAGCAATGCACATTTGGTGGAAACCCAATTTACCTTTCTCTTGGCTGAGAGTGTGGGGCCCTGAAGGGCACCAGCAAGAAATTTCTGCTGCTTTCTTTGCAGTAGATTGGACCATACAACCCAATACAACTGTGAGGTGCACATAAATTGTGATGAGCTGTAAAATTATAATGGCTTATACCTTTAGTACAAGACACACAGCTGCAGTTAAGAGAACCACAACAGCGATGACTGCTATGATTGGTTTGGACCATTTTTTTCCCTGTTGTGATGCCAAAACAATCTCCTCTGGGCAGGAGTTGCTGCAGTGTGGACCTGAACACTCATCACGAAATGCCACACCCTCTCCCTTGTGCGACACATTCCTATACCAGTAGTCAATTGCATCTCTTATAGTGTAGCCTTCACCCTCATAGTAGCCAAGTGGTGGGCCATTCCATACTCCAGATCTTGCAGTATGTCTAGAAAAATGAACATAAAGTTATTATGCGACTTCCTCCCCCACAAACCACACTAACCTGAATGTCACCACATTGTGACTGAATGTGACATCTTCAGAACCAAATAGATTTCCAGGCTCTGCGAGGGAGGAAGCTGCCAAGTACCTGTGCTGGAAACACTGGGGACTGAAGTAGGTGAACGGAAGACGATTCCTCGACCCTCTGGAGGCAATATCTAGTATAGAAATATTCAGTGCACCGCCATACTCGCCAATAGTTGTGATCAAATCTTGCGCAAATCCTACAGCTGTGAGGCTCGGGTCATCTAAATCTCCTAATCTGGACAGTGAATTTGACAGGAGGAAAATGTCATAGAGCCCACTCAGGGCAAAGAGTGGGACATCTCGAGGGAAATAATACTCATCATCTACTGGGCTCCTCTCCTGGAGAATACAGGGGGAAGATACGCAACATGGGTAACCCAGTCTTGTGTCGTTGCATGCTTCATTGGAGTCCAAGAGATCAAAGAGCTGACTACCACCGGCAGAGTTGGCTGTGTCGGTTCCAAATACTTCGACTAAGCTGTTGCGAAAGTTGATGAACCAGGACGAGTCGGTGATGACTTTGAGACTGACGTTCTGGAAGGTGTCTCTCACCCACTTTGCTGAGTTGAGAACACCCACTCCCCCAGCACTGGAGCCAACCAGAACAATCTCTGAGGCCGTGTTCAGATTGTACATTCTGTCAAGAGTCTGCAGTACTGAGCGGAAAATGGTCTGTCCTCGAAATGTGAACTGGAGATCTTCACTTGTTGGATTGTATCTGAAGCAGTCCTGGTCCCAGCAGTCACACTGTTGATCTTGTCTCTCGTCACTGCCCAGCCACAGATCACTGCTACAGTAAGGCACCAGCACATGACTATGGTTGCAGAACGTTGGGTTATCTCTGCAGTCACTGCTCAAAATGTCTCTTCCCTCAACTGACAAGTTATCAGCGTCACTAAAATATTGAGTTTCATTTCTGAAACAGTAGGGAGACGTCATGAGAGGGTTTACAACTTCACTCAGTGGCTGTCCAGCAGCTCCAGTTTCAGCCCAAGCCACTGCTGTGTCGAAATCTCCGAAACGAAGTCGACTTCTGCTTCCACTGCTGAAGCGGGTCCTCAAGTGTGACTGGAAGTATCGGCGATTGCAGGTACTATTCGAGTGACACAGAGACCCAGTCTCCAGGACTATCACCCATTTTTTCTGCTGTAACGCTAGCGCTGTGATTGCGGTGAAAAAAACCGGCGGGCGTGTAATCGTTGCACAGTGCGGCTCCGTTGCCCGTGAAGCTCCAGGTCAGATCATCTGGATCTCCAGCAGCTACCAGATCTACTGCAACTGTTACAAAGAAAAGGATTACTATCACAGGAGGGGGCATTATTGCGATGACACTTCTAGCTATCAATCGTGGGCCTAGCCCGTTTTATGCTCTTTTCCTTACCACCCCGGCCCGGCCCCTGCGGCGGAACTCTTGCGCATGCGCAGGCGTCTTATCCGCGCCAGAAGAGTTAGTTTAGCTCGCACACTGATCGTCATAATTACCTCCTTTTGTGCTACAGACCCAATGCTGGGAAGCTGCCGAACACTCAAATGCTTGTAGCTATCTGAGCTGAGGGTCATGACTTAGCTAAGTGGTTTGGCTGGTTCCTCCACTGCATGCTGGTGTGCGTTGGTGTATTTTTCGTCATATTGAGGCCCCAAGTAAAGGCTTCTTCTCTGAGGACCTCCTTCACCTTGCCTTCTCTTTTCCATGACTCACCTTCTGGCCACATCCTCATCTCGGTTGTTGGTGTCTGAACTCTACCCCCTCCTCCTCCTATGACGTGGCTATCCTCCCATTTTACTGCTGCTGTAGTTCTTGCTTTTTCTCACCACCTCTATTGCCATCTCGGTCAATGCCGCCGGTTGTTCCAAACAATGGCTACACACTGTTGCTACCAGTTTAGCTACTACTAGGTAGCCAAGAAATTCAAATGCAACCTGCTGGACCTTGGCCGCATACTGAGACACAACCTCATGGACCATGGTCAGTGATATTCCTCTGACGGTCAGACTGCCTATCTATATAGATTCTCAAGTTGTGGTTACCAATACATTCATACAGGTGTGAAAACGACTAAAACAAATCACTGTGCCTTCTTTCATCGAATAATTGATGGCTTCTACAATGTAAAGACTTAGTACGTATGACGCAATATAAAAGTTCACTGTTGAGAGCATAGATGTTCTCACGTGTTCGCTCATAAACTTGAATTGTCTTCATTCCCTTCCGTTATTGTGTTGCATATCCCGTGCTGGGAAGCAGGCTGTTGTACGTGAATGTGTGCAACTGATGAGAATGGCTTGAGCGGTTTTTTATTCCTCATTGAAGACTTTGACCGGCCAAGGTACTCGCTCCTCCACTGCTTCAGGGCACGGCGTGCGTCGGCTTTGGCCTGGCGAACTGTCGACTCAGCTGCTTCTTCGTCATTCTGGTTGGCCTTGGCCATCTTCTCGGCATACTGAGACACAACCTCATGGAAGTGAAGGCTCCTCTTTGAGCGCTTCCCCCGCTTAGCTTTTGTGTTCTCCACCATGACTTTCTTGATGACCTTCTGCCACATCCTCTTCTCGGTTGTTGGTGTCTGAACTCTCTCTCCTTCTCCCCCCCTCCCCCCTCCTCCTCCTCCAGCTCCTCTCTCTGCACCTTCAGCACCAGCTGGGTTGCCCTGACACGGCTGCGCAGCCGTTTCTGCCGTTCCTGCAGGTCTTGCTTGTTTCTCACCACCTCCATCACAACGTCGGTAAATGCAGGCTGCTTTTTCAAACTCGGTTTTCGTGGTGTCCACACGCTGTGGCTCTGGCCGGCAACGAGATAGAGTGCCCTTCGTTTGTCCTGTTTCTGTCTGATGCTCTTTGTCTTTGCCGTTGATCTCAGCTGGGCATCAGGCACTGTCCCCTCCTCCTCTTGCGAGAGTCGGCACTCGTTTTCCTTGTATCGTTCCAAGACTCTCATCCATGCCAGTTTGGCCTGGGATGGTTCCTCTTCACAGACTGTGGAGCAAAGGCAGAGAGAAGCATGAAACACATGGAGTATAGGGAGCATGTATATATAGTGTACTTAGAAAATTGCTCTGTTTGCCCTTTAACAGTGGTGTTTCCACGATTTCCGTGTGGGTGATGCTGACACCCACACAGTGTGTATGCAAACTGTGTGCTCAGTCTCCTAAATCCCCATATTATTAGTGTCCCATATGCCTCGTCGTCTATCTACTACTTAGCCATTGTTCTTACGGTAGCATGGACAGCTTATAGGGAGATATTTGAGCACCTAAAGTACCCCTTCTCTGCCCTCACTATAAGATACAGTTACCGGAGAGCTTGTATACTTGCCCCAAAGAACTTGACCTAGACACAAGTGTATGCACGTTTTTCAATTGCCATGTTTACCATCATTAGCAACGTCTTCATCTCTACACTTCTCCGTGAGTTTCTCATGTTCTCCTGATTCTTCTTCATCGTCACTGAAGCTCTCCGCCTCACTGTCGCTAGGACTGGCCCCCTCTTGTTCGCTGAGGTAGATAATTCTATCAGATACAACCTTCGGTTTTCTCATCCTAGTGTTACTGTAGGAAAAGGTTTGTACATGTAAAAGTGTTGCACCAATCAACTAAGACCAAAGTTATATATACCTCCAAAGTTATATACCTCTCTGTGAATGTCTTACCTTAGCATAATTTTGATTCGGTTTACAATTTGCTCAAACTTTACATATCTGACCCAGTTACTCAGTCCAGCAACAAGAGGAAGAAAACTGTCATTCCGAGGAGTATCTATGGGCGTGTATTAAACTATGATAATAGCTCCACATCATAAATTCTTTGAGTCACTGACCGCTATGTTCTGGTAGGGGTTGACATTATCGAAACCAAACACTTCTAAGATGTAGTCTCCGGAAGCAGTGTAGCACTCTAGTTCTGAGCCACCATCTCTCTCACAGTCACTCTCAAAGTCAGAGAGCAGTATGACTGCTGAGGCTGAAAACCCATAGTAGTTGGGGTTGATGAAACTCATCCAGCGGTACCTGAATAGACCGAGAGCAGCACTAAGATGGAATCTGAACATGTTTTACTTACCACAAAGGGATCTTGTTGATTGGTATGAAGAAGCCACTGGTGAACCCAGCGAGAGCAGAGAGGACAGGGGAGATACGGAAGGCCTTTACTGGGAATATGAGGATGAGCCAGATGAGCAGCGAAGTCCAGGTCTGGTTGAGGGCAAGGTTCACCAGAGCAAGCTGAAGGAACTCTATCCCATTCCATCGAGCACGATCCACAGCCTATTGTATAACAGTCAATCACAGCCTCTGCTGATCTACTGCATGTGGCTTACAAGCACATAGAGGACACCGGCACAGATGATGACAGGGAAGAAGGCCATTGAGATGAACCTGACAAATGGCTGGATCACAAGGTCAGTGGCCCGTCCTGCCCCGTCAGCATGTTCAAATCTGTAGAGCTCCATAGCTTGCGTAAAGAAAGTGTACATAGCCGGGAACATGAACAGAGCGCTGGCCACAGAGTAGACACAGAATCCTGACATGATCAGGAATGGTTCACTTGTCTGGAAATACACCGTACCTGAAAGATTCGGACAAATGTACTATATAGGTACTGTGGCAAGATTGGTGTTACATAACAATCTATACATGGCTTCTAAAGCATGGTATGTTTTGATCTAGTATAGGAGGACTTTCATAGGCTTATACTTTTTTGCAAAAAAATCCCGCTTCTTTCGTTCTAGTATTATAGTATTACCCAGTAGGAATCCATAGCCGAAGAAGATGATAGGTAGATAGAGAATGGTCATAAGGTTTGCTCTCTTCATTGCCCGAGCCTCGAGGGCTGCCAGACGGACGACTGAGTAGTTGTGTGTGCGCCCTGCATGTCTGCTTCCCTGTACTATCACCCTACAATAGGGATTGTTTGAGGGTGTGTCATTACATCTGTATTGAAAATGTTTTACTAGTGCATGGGTATTGTTATGTAAGCGCACTGTCCAAGCATTGTCAACCAAGTGTAAAGTTCACTGAAAGTCAAAGGGATGAGTGGGAATGATTACAGTGTGTAATGGAGCTTAGACGTTGGTAATGTAATCATCATTGTGGGTGGGTAACATAGCAGTTATTGGAAGGTCAAGCTAGTAGGTGCGGCATGCGATTGGCTAAGTGAGCATGTCAAATACTAGGAAACTTCTCGGTTGGACAATACCACTCCATTGACTCCCATGTTGCACAATGGGATTATATATGTCTGTGCCAAACGTGGCGTATACTATGCCACCACAGTCTGGGCCCAGTTCCTATAGAGAGTGAATCCCTGTCTTATAATACCACAACAATTAGCTACGGTGCCATACTGATATATAGACTGGTAGTTCCAACATGGGAAGTCAGTGTGTTAACTGCTATATATGGCAGTGTGGACCAGGAGTCCAGGATGTACATACAAGCATACATAAATACTGTACCTGAGCGTTTTGAATTTGGCTGCCAAGGTATTTGGGCCGTCGATTTCGATATTTTCAGCATTAAACATCTGTTCCTTGCGCCGGGCCTCATCCACGGCCTTCCGGACCAGCTTTGGCTCTCCACTGTCCTCATAGTAGCTGTTGACAATCTTCCTCATCTTCCTATCTCCCAGCATGTCCATTATGATATCTGAGGGTGTGTGACAATAACCACATTATCAGCCTAAGCATTGAGTTACTCTTAGACTGGGACGCATAATGTCTTGTTTACCTTCTTTAGCAAGTCAACAATGGCGGATCCAGGGGGGTTCCTTGGGTTACGCAGTACCCCCTTTTTATCGTTTTGCGCGCATGCGTCGCCGGCCTCGTGCGCGCGCATGAGCGCAGTCAAAACGTTCTTGGACAGTGGAACCCCCCTTTCAAAATCCTAGATCCGCCACTGGTCAATTATTCATGCTTCAGACCGACAATTCTACCGGGAAATGTACAATGCTTAGGGGCGTTCATTTGTTACCCCCTCTGATGACAATGGAGACTCACTCTGCTTTCCGTAGTAATTCGGCCACTATGATGCCATTCGGATATTTTTTTTGGACAAGATACACACACATGGACATGTAGTTGACTTGTACAGAAAGAAAAGAAGAAGAGCTGCCCTGGATGGATTCGAACCCACGACACTCTGCAGTCTAAGCGAGTGCTCTACCAACTGAGCTACCAGGGCAACTCAGCTGGTAGGGGTTCGAATCTACAACACAACACAAGGCAAACCTCAAACCACTGTACTATGGCACAGTATACTCTAACTCAGTATGTATGCCCACATACACACCTGCACACATGTACACATACATACGCACATTCACACACGCACACATGCACACACGCACCCATGCACACATACACACACGCACCCATGCACACATGCACACACGCACCCATGCACACACGTACACAAACCCACACGTACACATGCACATATACACATATACAATGGACACCACATTACCTGCTGCTCATAATTATATGCGTCGGGTATCAACTGTGCTTTGGCAATACACACTCGCTATCGTTTCTACCATTCTCAGAAAGTGGCGGGATAAAACTATGTTAACCTGCTGGGTTATGGTCCTCCAGAAGTGGAATCTTGACTCCCTGGCTCAGAAAAGCTGATTGTAGAGCATCAACAAACACCTCGTATGCGTTCTCTGGAACTCCATGGTAGGCAACCTATAGAGAAAGGGATGATGCGTTTGATGTCTCATTGAAATCTAATCACCTTTCCATCTGTGAGGACAACAATTCTGTGGAACATGTGGAATATCTCCAGTCTTGGCTGGTGGATGGTGAGCACTACAGTTCTATTGGAGGCTGCCAGAGAATTCAGATGAGTCAGTAGTTCAGTGGAAGAGGCTGAGTCCAATCCTGTATTAAGGCATAATTTAATGACTTGCATTCCGATGAGGAAACACCCTTAGTTTACCAGAGGTGGGTTCATCAAGGAAGATGACACTGGGTAGCTTCAGCAGTTGCAGAGCTACAACAAGTCTTCGTTTCTGCCCGCCACTCAGTCCTGGTCCTGTAGCTCCTCCTACAACAGTGTCAGCTAGATCCATCAAACCAGTCTGTCAGGAGAGAGAGCAACTCAACAGGTCATCTCACCAATGGACCAGTGAGAGGTCTCACCACTTCCATGACTTGCTCCACTCTCTGGAACTTCTCTTTGCTGCTGATGTGGAGCTTGACCCATGCTGCTAGAGTCAGGTTCTCTCTCACCGTCAGCTCCTTATAGTAAGGAGCTGCCAGCTGTAGCACATACCCCGTGTTGCTGATATACCAGTTACGATTATTCTCAACTTGACATCCATTGACAAAAATGTTTCCCTGTGAAAGGAATGAGAACACGACCAACTCTTAATGCTACATTGGTATATACTTTCAAGGAAATCAAAACTCATGAGGTTTTTACACTCACCATGGTGGTACCAGTTTTGCGACGTCCAGTTAGGATATCCAGAAATGTCGTTTTGCCACACCCTACATATATGCCGGAAGTAGTACTCTATGGATGGGGGTAAATTCTGAATGTACCTGAGGGACCCATGATAGCTATCAGCTCTCCAGGATTGAAGTATGCTGAAATCCCAGTCAGAATTTTCTTGGTTTTTGCAATTTTCTACAATAGAGCAAAAATTTTCTTTTTTTACCAAAATATCTAGGGGAAAACGGTGTGCCGTCAATGTCCAGATTCGATACTGTTACATAAGCGGTGAAATAATTATATTCAAATTTTGTATGGCTGTCTGAACTTGTGCAATCTATTGCTTTTCCCAGCACTCCCCCCTCCCCCAATGCCCACACAATTGTGCGCTGCACGCTTCACTATTTCATCATCACGTCTAGAGTGGAACTCGACGAGGCATCCCTGAGTATTGATATAATCATGTCACTGGCAGCTGACAATCGTGAGGGGAGAGGGGGCAGGCACCAGGCTTTTAAACTCATACCCTAAAAGCCAATACTGGTTAGCTCAGTTATGATTATGGCTATATATAGTGACAAGCTGTGCTATATAGCCACTCTGTTTCCGCTGCCTATATAATTATGTGTTACTAAACAGAGCTTTTTGTTTTTGATACCTTTTGGCTTGTTTCCTCTTCGTATTCTTTGTCAACACACTGACCTACACAAACAGAGACCACTCCTTTCAAAACTCATTTCTCGGAATATTGACTCCTCACAAGTACCTTCGGTATCTATGGTATCAGTTAGGTCTCCGTTGTCCTGTAGCCCACTCAGAGCTGCTGGCAAGATCTTGGCCTCTTTCTTCTCTGACTTTTTCTGAGCATTCCTACGAACAGTGACACAGTAGTGGAGGTCCAGACAGGCCACAGAGATGGCATTAGCATCAATGCAGTTGGGGAACTGTAAAGAAACCAAGATTAATATATACATTGATAGCTAACATCCTTTCCATGAAAATTATCTTCAAACACACTCCAATTTTATAAAAGAGAAGCTGCTTAGGTATAATATACATGTATGTGGCTTATTCCGCATGCATTCAGGAAGTTACTACTGTGTTGTGTAGCCATAGGAATTGCTTTGGAGGCTGATATATATACACGAGCTATTGCTGCTGGTTATGCAGTGGATGCCACACAAATTCCAAGAGCATTGAATCTGGTATGGCCACCATATGCCAGAATGCAACCCACCGGGTGCATGAGAAAAACTCCCTTATAACACATTTCCGTGGGTCATTTGATCTTGCCTTGCCCAAATTGAGAGCATTACACAACAAGTATGCATTATAGTGTGAGATAAATTCCGCAACAAGGTTGTTACAGTTACCACCCATATTTAATGCTTACGATAGGTGTAGTACCTGCTGCCATACTCATGGTATACACACTTTCGACTATACATTACCCTTATAGAGAATGTGCAACTCCCAAAGGATTACACCTGGTGTGGCTCTTTCCGGATCATTTCCTGGTATTAAGGCGAAATGCAGAAAGTATTAAGCAAAGCGGTGTTCAGTGATATCAGTTGTCACTTGTGAACTAGCTACCTGTGAATTTCTTCCATCCCTCAATGGGAGATAGAGTGGGCACTTTGATATTGCCATTCTGGTGTCAGTGAACATTGTGACTCTATCGGACAAGAGCGCCTTAGCCGATAAGCCTGATCATTTTAAAGGTTGCCTTGACCAATTCTCACAATTTTGTGACTTATCTACGTATACTGCATGAGCTATCTGAGTCTTCGACTCGCAAATGCATGATGCACATAAGTGAACTTTGGAATGAAGAGTTTGGGGTCACACTTTCTTGCTTCGGATAGGAGAGGGTTCAGATAATAGGGGTCAGAGAAATGGGACCCGTTAAAGCGAGCCAGTTATATACTGCATTCAGTATTAGCCTTCTCTAATACTGCATACCACAAAATTGCTTCCTCCATCCAGATGTCACGGACCAGTGATTTCTCAGTATTTGTTGGGTTGCATGTTATGACTGGGCACAGTAAACTCACCAGTTCTGTGCACCTAGCAAATCTTGGCAAATCATGACGTGTACTATTGTTGACATCAAGTAGTACACTTAGCAAGTATCCCACTTGGGTATTTCTTATAGACATAATATCATGCATGAACATCAAGTCGGATGGAGGAGGGTTCATTTACATGTTTTGTAGTGAGACACACATTTACTGCATTTAACCCTACAACTACCTACTTCCCTGTAGCACATGATTACAGATATCAGGGGGTCTCACAATCACAAGGGCTTGAAAAGAAATACCGCCTACTATATATACACATCCTCTATAATAATGTGTACAAATTGCTTTGTAGACAACTGTTTGTACAAACCTACGTTGTTGTGACCACTGATAAGGCTGTTATTATAGCGGACCAGAGTACCATGTCTATACTAGTGAGTCGCCACACTTGAATATGTGTATGAAAACATGTGAAAAAAATTTGATGGTTGCAGTTACCTCTCGTCTAAGTCTTGGAACAGCTGGCATTTCTTCATCATTAGGAGACAGAGTTTGTGCAAGAAATAGCCGCTGCTTGTGATGAAGCAGTCCTAACCACACACAACAGTACATCTGTGTTGTTAACAAAACAGTCCTAGTAAGTATAGTATACAGGGATAATAATGAAAGCAGTAACAGTTGAAAAAATTAATACCTGGCAAAAATGGCAACAGTGTACAGTTGCAGATGAGCAAAGTATGAGGTGAGGTTTGCAAACAGGAGGATTACAGAATACAATACCTTCATGATGAGGCAGATGACTCCAATAAGAAGGACAACAGCGGCGATTGCAATCTCTACGCCGGGTGACCAATTCTCTGCTTCCTCCTTTCGAGACAGGGCAATCTTCTCGGGGCAGGTATTGCTGCAGTGTGGCCCTGAACACACGTCACGAAAGACCAAACTCTCTTCAGAATGGTTGTACCAGAGGTCAATTGCACTCCTGATAGTGTGCCCCTTGCCATTGTAGTAGCCCAGGATCTCTCTGCCCCACACACCAGACTCAATTCTGTGTCTGCCACCCACAAGAGGAAATAGATGGAATACTTCAGGCATTGGCACAGCATTCAGTTTTAATAGCAATAGCAGCACAAGCTGTTTCTAATCAATCATTTGAAGCATTATTGTAATATGATATCAGGTAGACTTAACCTAATCCCCATGAACTGTCCAATAGATTAAATACCTGGCCACACAACGGTTTAATTCATACACAAGATGTTGTAGGGACACACAAACAGCCCAGAAACATAGTCCAACGGTAGTACAAATGTCACCGCCTACATAAATTCACAGAGAAAACTTGCAGACAGCTATAATAAACATGGAAGTTTTCTCTTCGTAAACTGTGTATATTATATCTTCCCCTGGAGAAGAGTGAAGAGATGGCTTGAGTATTAGGGAAAGTCCCGCATCAAACTGCTGTCCAAGGTGCCAATGATTGATGCATGATGTTTGGCTCTAAGCTTATAGTGCTCATTAGTCTAATGGAGGAGCCAGAATTATTCACATTCCAACAGTGGTGTAGTCATTTCCTGAAAATTCAACTGCCTTTTGACCCTATGCATTCAGCAAGCGGGGTCAACCTCAAACAGTAGTTTATACACTTGTTTACTGTCTAATGCAGTCATTACAAGAATAAGTAGCATAAACATGAGGGTAATTATATGCAGTATAGAGGGCACCTGATAACAAAAACAACAGAGGGAGGTTCTTTCACTAAATCAACAAGACTATGCCATACTGTAAACAATGCTTTAGTGTAGGTTAATGCTCCCTCATTCCCGCCTCATTCCCAGGCCTTTCCCACTTATGCGTACGTTTACACAGCGTGGATCGTTGCATACAGAAAATGCACAATGATCTATGCTATGTCAACATGCACATAATAGGCCGGAGAGGGGACAAGGCTAGGTGAGTGCATGCACATTACGTTAACTTACTCAAACATTGCAAATGTATGATCAAGCTGAATCTCATCTGCTCCAATTAGACCATTCTCACTTCGAAGGGTGGATGTTGAGAGGTATATGTGCTGGAAGCACTGTGTTGCGAAATAGCTAAAGTGTATGTCTAATAGTGAAGCAGTGTCAGCAGTGTCTATTAAAGAGTCGTTCATGGCACCACCATACTCTCCAACTGTGATTGTGAATTGCAGGGCTAAGCCAGCGACACTAAAGTCATCACTGACTGGTACAAGTCCAGAAAGAGCATTTGCAAGAAGAAACACGTCATAGATGCTGGTCAGTGAAAACACTGAGACACCTTGAGGGAAGTAGGACTCTCCAGTCTCCCTGTTTTTCTTTGTGAGAAGGCACTCGGGTGAGAGGCAGCAAGGATAGCCCCGCCTGGTGTCGGTGCAAGCTTTGCTACTAGAGCCTACTATTTGCAGAAGATCTCTAAAGCTGTTGGGTGCTGCAGAACTACCTCCACCTGAAACTGAACCGAATTCTTGTTCAATGCTTCCTCGAAAGTCAATGAACCAGGACGAGTCGGTGATGACTTTGAGACTGACGTTCTGGAAGGTGCCTCTCACCCACTTTGCTGAGTTGAGAACACCCACTCCCCCAGCACTGGAGCCAACCAGAACAATCTCTGAGGCCGTCTTCAGATTGTACAGTCTGTCAAGAGTCTGCAGTACTGAGCGGAAAATGGTCTGTCCTCGAAATGTGAACTGGAGATCTTCACTTGTTGGATTGTATCTGAAGCAGTCCTGGTCCCAGCAGTCACAACGTTGATCTTGTCTCTCATCACTACCCAGCCACAGATCACTGCTACAGTAAGGTACCAGCACATGACTATGGTTGCAGAATGTTGGGTTATCTCTGCAGTCACTGCTCAAAATGTCTCTTCCCTCAACTGACAAGTTATCAGAGTCACTGAAGAAGCGAGTTTCGTTTCTGAAGCAGTACGGAGACGTCATGAGAGGGTTTACAACTTCAGTCAGTGGCTGTCCAGCAGCTCCAGTTTCAGCCCAAGCCACTGCTGTGTCGAAATTTCCGAAAGGGTTCTGTCCTATAACGTCTGTATTGTAGCGGTCTCTCAGGTGGGACTGGAAGTAGCGGCGATTGCATGTCTGGCTAGAGTAGCAAAGCGACCCACTTTCAGGAATACCACCCATTTCTGACCTGCTGCAGTGTTGGACTTGCGACCGAAGAATCCTGCACGAGTGAAATCGTTGCACAGTGCAGACTCATCGTCAGTTAGCCTCCATTGCAGGGACGAGCAGTCGCTAAGAGCGAGCCTCGTTAATAGGTAGATTGCTGCAAAATAATAGTGTATTGTCCTCCTATTCATGACTCTGTCGAAGATTGAATATTGCAGAACTCGCAGCAGATAAAATCTATCCGCATGCGAGTAACGCATGCGCACCCCCTCCCCCTCCCCCGCCGCTGGCCCGTCGCGATCGCCTCAGCTCAGTGTGGGAGTCATGCAGTGACCTACGACGGAACGGCGATGAGGATGTATAGTATATACACACAGTTGCTGTGTTTGTCCGCCTTCCGCCCGTAGGCGATGCCTTGCCATATTGGCTTCCACGCTCGCACACCTGTAGGTCTACTACGGAATTTCACAATGTAGATAGGGTGGCTGACGTTATGAGTGAGGACATTCCTTGAGAACAGTTTCCACCGCAAAAACTTCGTGTCCAAATTATACTGCTACTCTGCGCATGCGTGATGACAACCCTAGCTAGGCTCATTCCACAAATTGGAATTTGGAACCAAAGCTGAAACAAAGCGAGGCGCTAGCAAAACACATCGTGTGTCCTGCGTGCTCTTCTCTGGCATAGCTGCTGCTCTTGCGATACACATCGAACAGAATGTCCAGGGGGAACGGCTACGTGCGTGTACCCACCTCTGAGCCCAACCCGATCACCCAGGTCCGCAACAAGGACGCTGAGAGGCGCCGGAAACTGCCCAAGAGCCTCCGGCCCGGTCTCTTCTACATGTTCGGAGAGCGGGGAAAGTACTTGGCGGACAGCGGGTCCGAAGAGGAGATCGAGCTGACGGAGGTGAGGGGGAGTGAGAGGAGATGGAGGCGGCCCAGGAGTCCAAAGTCGCCCAAGTCACCCAAGTCACCGAAGACGCCCAAGTGGAAGAAGGCCAAGCCGAAGACACCGCTCATCCACGAGCCCATTCTGGAAGGAGACACTGTCCAGCGAGTGGCGCTCAGATATGGCGTCCCTGTGAGTCGTGGGGGACAAGTAAAAATTGCATAGAGTGCCTGGGTTGCCACATGCTCCTGTGTTTCGCTCCAGACCCTCTCGTGGAGTCTAGGGAGGCTCAGGTTATCTGTGTAGTTCAAGTAGTGTACCACCTTAGTGTGTGTATGTATATACCTGATAATGATAAGTGGCACCCAATCATACTTAGCCAAGGAAGGAAGTTCCATGTGCCTAAGCAGCCATATACCATACCATGATCAAATGTGCCAAGATTGTGACACTATAGCTGAGTCAGCTGTGCATCCATCCTCCATCTTTGTTGTGACCTGTTTTCCTCCCCATGTGTATAAACCCCATCCTGAATTCTCTCCCTCCCTCTCTACTCCTTCATCTTGCTCTATTAACACCGTTCTTCTCCTTCATCTTGACACTCATTAATTAACTCTCTTCTACCCTCCTCCCCTCCCCTCCCCTCCCCTCCCCTCCCCTCCCCCTTTCCTCACTTCTTCCTCCCTCCCCTCCGTCCCTCACAGGACTCTGAGATCCGTAGAGTCAACAACCTCTACAGGGACCAAGATTTCTTTGCTCTGAAGAAGGTCAAGATACCAGTCAAAGAGAACAGTCTTCTCACCGAGACCTCTGAGTTGGAGAAGATAAGAAAGATAGCGTCTTCGGGAACCGGTGGCTCAGAGAACCAGAGCGAGAGTAACTCCGACGAAACCAGATTAGGGGGCCCCTCTACTTATTACAAGTGAGAGAGCACAGTGTTTTTGTATAATAATGTACTCTGAGTAAAAATTAATCAGATGATCCCATGCTTTGATGCTTTGAAGTGCCCTGTCCCACTTTGAGACTTGTGGCATAATGTTACACAACAAAATGCAATCGAACTGCAGCATAGAGATGTAGCCATTAAAGAACTATTTCACAGCTTAGCTCAGACCCCTCCCTTTCCTGTGTCCACCCCCACACCCTCATGCTTCTGTTGCCTCCTCTTTCTCCTCTCTTTACCCCCACGCCTCACCCCTTCCTCACTCCCTCCCAAAGATCGGAAGATGACGAAGATTCCGGGGATGCCGATGACGAAATATGCGACTCGGACACCCCCGAATACCGCAACATCAGCATCCAGTCGGCCCTCAAGTGGAAACTGAGCGGGGACAGTCTCCTCAAGAAGTTTGACGAGGATCTAGAGAGAGTGAGAGCGAGCACGGAGCAGAGAGTTCAGAATCACCGCGACGTGGCTGTCACACTCAACCACCCAAAGTTCCATCCGGTCACACGGACTTCGTACGAGAATAGACTCTTGAGCAACGTGGACTGGAGGTGGTACATGTGGGGAGGGCTGGCCGTGGTGGTCGTCATAGTACTCATGATTGTCACCCGGACTATCTGGTGCAAGGTGAACAGTTGCAAGCATACGTTACGAACATGATTTTTTTCCTTCGCTGTTTGTCTTTTGTGTTATTACTCCGTTTGTGATGACTATCTGCCTTCTCACCAAAGAGCACCTTGCAGGTGTTGTGTTGACTTCATCTCTTTGTGTTCATTGCTCATTTTGTGTCTCATTCTCCTTCCACACAAATGACTACTGTTGGTAAATGCTTGTACAATTGCAAGTGAAAGCTACGGCCTTGTCTTTCAATTACGTGATTCGTAACTATTCGACGCTATGGATGCTGCGTTGACTATGTGCACTGGCATCACATGACTCGCCAACAATGCTCTTCAGATTTTTATAGAAGTGAACTCCTTTTACAACAAAGGGGGTTGATGAATGAGACAGATAAGATGCCATGGAAGTAAAGACTGAGAAATCAGTTGATACACAAATACATCGTCGAGTGTAAGTGTATGTACCTATGTCACGGACAAAATTGAAAAATATATCCCTATGAGTCTATGGTGGTGAAAGTTGGTGAACTGGTGATGAAAATGATCACTCTCCCTCCTCATCGTCCGAAGACTCTTCGGATGCAGTCTGTAACCACTCTATCACAGGTTTGACTACCTTCAGAACCTCCAGCTTTTTGGGCAAATCGCCTGCGGACGACGAGTAGCGCTTGTGCCACGAGAGAATGACGCTCTCTTCCAGTATGTCCCGGTTATAGAACAGGAGTACGAGTCGGGCCAGGTTTGCGAGGACTGCCCCCTGTTTCTCTGCACAGTCTGCGAGCGTCTCAGCTACGCTCATCTGGAGACTCTGGTCCCGGATGTAGTGCTGGAGGAGAGACGTGAAGAAATTCACGGCCGACTTGATGTAGGTCATTGTGTCTGGTTGTGATTGTAGGTTCCCTGTCGGGGCTCCAGTGGATGAGGGCGTGGTGGAACGACGCGGCCCTTCCATTATTGCCCTAACGATGGCGAGGGGCACGTCGTGGATGGGGATGTTGTAGGCGTGTTTCGCGGCGTTGATCATCAGAATGGTATTGTCGGTGTTGACTTTCTCGGCCAGTCCGGAGCGAATGAGGTCGATGATCTCGTTGTAGAAGAGGAGATTGTCTAAGTCGGCTCCCTCCGAGAACTGGTGGGAGGGCTGGGCGGGGCCGGGGGAGGAGTCTCGGGAGCTCCCAGAGCTGCTCTCTCCACCGCTGGACTCTGCCTCATCAGCCGGCCACTCCTCCACCGCAAACTGCTCCGATTCCTCGTCTTCTTCCACTGTTGTTGGTGGGTGCCAGAGGAAGCCACGCCCCTCCCGACCCACCTCGGTCGGGTTGCTGTCCTCTGTGGGACTCTTCTGGGTGACCTCCGCGACCTTTACCCCCTCATCCCCCCACTCCCCCTCGTCATCTCCGGGGACACCCGAGTCTCTACTAGTCGTTATCTTAGACCCTCTCTTCACCGTAAACTGTGGACCTACGATTACACCATAGGACAGCACACATCCTGCCTCCACCACCACGTTGGACTTGACGTACACACTATCGCAGAGAATGGAGCGGTACACCTTTGAGCCTCGCTCTATGACGCAGTTGTCCCATATGTAAGCACCCTCTATGACCACATTGTCTCCTATCCTGCAATTGTGCCCTATAGACGACTGCGTGATGTGCGTGCTCACCCCGACGGAAGTATTCCGACCGATGACTACGTCCTCGTGCAGCTCGCACCCAAATGCCAGCGACACATTTGTGTTGAGGTATATGTTACGTCGCCCGTACGAACATGCCTCGTCTGTGTTATCCGGGACCAGGGGGTATACCCAGCGATGGATGACGTCTTTGCTGATGGCGTCGTACGTGCTGAAATTGCAGACGCGTGCAGCGTACTGGTCGGAGATGACGTGTGTGTAGATGTGGTTCCCGAGGATGTCCTCGTTCATGAGGATGCCCCTGATGAAATGATGTCGTGTCTGGTAGTCAAAGTTGTCCGAAAACAACTGGGGGACCGTTGGGGAACAGATGCTGATGTGGCAGTCCAGGAGGTCGTAGCGGACCTCTATCTCGCGGTGGTCATCAAGCAGACTCAGAGGGATGTTCAGTCGACGCTGTTTCCTCGGTTTCTCGCAGTGAAGCAGCTGACCGTCGGCGGAGTTGGTGCAGATTAGAATATCGTCTTCGGTGCTGCGGGTGCGGTGTTTCGGCTGGGCCTTCTTGTAGACGCAGGTCATGACCAGCATCTTGTCTTTCTTCTTGAGCTCCCTGTGCCTCTGTACCACCTCCTGGAGCTGCATATTGGACACAAGGTCTCCTGAGACCAGGACAAAATCCGTGCGGACGAGGGATTGAGCATCGATATCCCTCAGAGCGTCGCCCACGGAAGGGCAAGCCTCGGATTTGATGATACGGAGTTTGACCGGCGAGGTGGGTTTCATCCAGTGAGACGCTCCAGGTGAGCTCGTACGGCCTCCGCACGCGTGCAGCAGTAGACGAAGATCTCCTGGACTCCGGCCACGGCCAGGAACTCCACCGTGTAATCGATGAGCGGGCGGTTCACCAGTGGGAGGAGGGCTCGCGGCTGCTCGATTGTGACGGGAAGAAAGCGGTAGTTGAAGCTGTCGGCGATGACAACCGCCTGAATGGCGTCCTCCGCCGCCTCGACTCTGTCGCTGCTCATGGCTGCAGTTTCCCGCGCCCACCAGTGCACGAAGGCGCAGTGCTGGAGGTCCGCCTATGTAGCCATCGAGGAGTGGATATTGGAGGCTTGAGCTGAGCCCTGTCGCTGGAAGACGGAGAGCTGCAGTAGAGCACACGTTGCTACAGTTGCATGTGATAGTCGCGTGATTAGAGGTCAAAGATCACAAAAATCGAGCGAAATTTGGATGCAGGATGGAGAGGATGGAAGAGAAGCATCGTCTTGTGAGTTCATGGATCACTATGATCATCTACGTACAGTAGCATGACACTCCAATCACACACTGTCATCAGGTGCAATGAGGGATAAGTCAAAGTTGCGAGGTGTCTCCACTATTGCTGTCTAGGCATAAAGTCCCTAGCTAAGTGAGGTGTGCTGAAACTGGTGAGCATCATATCGAATTGCACACTATGGCAATTACCGATTGCTCTGCCCCGTCCCCCTCTGTGCATGGATATGTAACCGTTTTGAACGTAATGAGTACACAATTAGTGGTAAAATAAGAGCATTCCAATGTGGCAAGTACTGTATTACGAGAAATGGCAGCCGGCTAAAAGCACTGTAGGGAAAATCTACGGCCTGCGTATGTACGGCGATGACTTCATTAAAGCCCCCTGTGTGTGTGTGTGTGCAGGTAAGGGAGTGGCTGGAGAGTGTGTTTGCCGGGGAGGAGGTCCCAGAGTATGAGATAACTCCGGGGACAGTGGAGGAGCTGTGGCAGCTGGCCACTGCCTCCAGGGAGAAGGAGAGGAGGTTGAAGACCATAGTTGAAGACACGGAGCAAAAGGCACATGAGTATGAAGCAGAGAGTGAGCAAGCCCTTACCTTTTTAATGTCCAATCCCAATTAGTTTATGTGTATATAGTCCTCATTTATCTACACGTCCTCTAACTTCACTGTGGCAAGTCACGTACTTCTCCCAAACACTGTATGTAGCTTTAAGGCAGGACATTTTTTGACAGCCATTAAATTTAGTCATTTTACGTCGAAAAGAATGTATGCTAAATGTTCCTCTTAATATTATATCAACACTCACATACATCAAACTTCCAACTTTCATGTTCCAGTAGCAACATGAAGTTCACTGGGAAACCTTCGCTGGTTTCTCGTCAACAAACACATGTCCCACCTACAGAAATTGGCAGAGAAACTTTCACTGACGGCTATAATAATAAACTGCAAAATTGTCTCCCTTGAAAGTATTGTCTTGAGGCCGAGCTGAGGCTTCTCACTCACCTTGTTTTGGTCCGGAGTAAATTATCTGTGTGCGCGTGTTGTCAGGTGAGAGGTTGGAGAGAGTGGTGGAGTGGGTGGGTGTGGGGATGTCAGACCTCTCAGAGTCAGCCACCAGGTGTGTCCAGAGTGTGGCCGGCACTGCCTCGGCTCTAGGTACCAGAGACTCCTCTGACACCAGGCAAGAGTCACCTGCATAATGGCTAAATTTAGAAATGTTACTAAAGAAAGAACTAAACGATAGGGCCCAGTGCAAGTATGCAATTAAGTTTCAATTTTCAGCAACAGTTGCTATCTTACATACTGCCACATTCCCTTTAATGTATGGTGTATGTTCTGTAGTGTTATTGGTGTTCCTATATACTTATTCGGCCAAGGGGTCTAGTCTCCCCAATGTGTTTAGTATTGTGATGTGAAAATGATGTAGTAAAGTGTTCATCTCGTTAAAACCTTCACCCACATACAGTAGTAAGTTAAAATTTGTTGTGAGTTTGTTGCAGCAAATCGCTATGAAACTACACTATTAATGCCTGTTCCCTCCAGCCTCTGTCTGGCTCTGAGTGAGCTGTTGGAGAGACAGGCAGCCGTGTCAGTGAGGGAGGGAGAGGTGGAGAGGGAGAGGGAGAGGAGGGAGGAGGAACTAAGACACTCAGTCGTCACACAGGCCACCCAGAAACAGTGAGCACTATTGCACTAGGTGTATATACCAGCTGTCGGCTAATGTCAGACATGAGCGAGTGTGTCAGTGTACAGCATACACCATGCCAATGGTGCCTACTATTTCCAATGTCTATATACGGGAATCACACTCGTATTAGTATCTGCATGTCTCGCTCTTGATCCCACCACCGCATGTCTCAACAACTTGGTAACGAGGTAGAAAGGCAAGGCAAGGCACACAAGCCAACTACACCCAGAAGAGCTGCCCTGGGTGGGATTCGAACCCACAACACTCTGCAGTCTAGGCGAGCGCTCTACCAACTGAGCTACCAGGGCAACTCAGCTGCTAGGGGTTCGAATCAACAACACCACACAACACAAGGCAAACATGTACTATGGCACAGTATACTTTCACTCAGTATGTAGCATGTTCTTCTGCTGCTAGTAGCCTTATTTCTCTTGTCTAAATGAAACAGGATTGGCCTTTGAATGGTAAGAGCCTTGCTCACTCTCTGCTTGGCAAAATTCAACAGCACATACAACATACTCAAAGCAGGGATGGCCTGGAAACAAGCGTGTGGCTGGCAACTAACACTACGATGATACTGTTGTGTAGGGCCCTGACAGAGTTCTCACAGCAGCTCAGCTCTGATACCAAGTCTGTCACCAACCAGAAGAAGAGTGCCGAGTTCTTTGCCAAGAAATCAAACCAGTACCAGAAACTCATCTCCTCCATGAAGGTAGAGTAATTTTTGCTAATATTCCGCTTCCACTGCTATAGTTAAAGAAGGATGGTGTTTTGGTGGACCGTTTCCCCCACATCTTCCTAAAAGATGATTCATTTCACTGCACTCTCCATCGGGACGGTTTGCATTTATGCTGGAAGTCTGACAAATTAGGACCTATTTTGCTTTCGGTTTTTTTACTGCACTCTCCAGCTATCGTTGAAACAGTTGAAGTCATTGTGCACCCTGTCCTTTACTCTACAGTCTTGCTAAAAGTACGAGAAGATTTCCAGCATTCAGGACAGTTTTCTCCCCTTGAAAATATTAGACCCAGGGGACATATAAGGGGTTCCAGTGTACTATACTCTTTTCCTATAATATATACAGGCAGAGCTTCAACAGGCTGGCTACACTGACAATCTCAGTCATGCAGCTCTACTACAGACAGCAAGGTATAATATTACAGGACCCCTATACAATTAGTACTTCTTATAGCTACACCATTCATTCACCAATATACTGCTACAGACAACTATAGCATTCATTCAGCAGTATAGTACAGTGGTGCTATTTTGACTGCAGGAGATACAGGATTTGGAGTCACAACTTGAGCCTCTCAAGACACAGCTCTCCAGCTTCCAGGGACTGCCACCTGTATGTCTCCATGTTACTACCTAATTTGTAACACACGTGCACAAAACGTCATCTTGCGTGTCTTGTGTTTGGGCATGCAGGATCTTGATCTGGCCAAAGTAAAGGTGGAGGGAGCAAAGAGACAACTCGTGAGTCACATGCTGGGCGATCTTTTTATTGGCAAGTGAAGCGAGTCCTCTGAATTGCGTATAATTATCTCAATACAGGCTGTACATAATGCTTTTATATAGCACTCGCATTCGCTCTGCGTTGCATTCACTCTATTTCTGTATTGTTGTTGTGTATAGGTACGACTGGAAGTAGAGCTGTCGCGATGTCTGGATCTGGTGCATACTGAGAAATGAACACACGTTTCATGATCACTGACTAGCAATGTGGTCTATAAATAATTATCTATGCATATTTGTCACAACAATGAAAAGCACTAAAGTGCAAACCCTCAGATCTGACTGTCACAAAAAAAGCAAGTATTGTAACCCTTGCTGTGCATGTGCACGCACCCCCCTCATGCATGAAATAGTTGCAGGGATTTTCCCTTGGGTACACGTGCACGTATAACTCAGGACGATGAGGAAAACTCTGCAATGGAGATGTGGAGAAACACATGAGATTGAGAAATAATGTGTTAAGTATTATTATGTGGGTGAGGATGGGTTCAGAGCCTGCTGTTGCTGTGCTAGTAGTGGCAGTGGCAGTGGGGTCGCACACACCGGGAACAGAAGGGCTGTAGACACTTGGTAAAGGAAAGAGTAGAGGCGATCCACAGACGAAAACAGGTACCGGTGCAAAGATACGAGACGCAGAGCCACCGATAGGGAATACTTCGATTTGCACCTAGAAATGAGCGAGTGAGTGAGCGGAGCAGGGGGGTACAGGAAATAAGGCACAGGCTCCGGCAAAACGGGGGCAGAAAACACGAAACAGTGACAAAGTGAGGGCACGGGCGAGAATCCCAGTTATATAAAGGAAAGGTAGATTAGAGAGGAGGCCAAACAGCGGGGACAGAGTCCATACTCAATGAAGCAGGAGCACACCAAAAGCGTGAGGCACTAGCGTGCAATAAAAAAACTGTCGAACGTAAAGAGGCTAAAGGAAGAAAATGGGGACACCTGCTCAAGGAGATCCGTAGTAGAAAGCACCGTGGGGTTGAGCTGGCAGGTTTTAGAGATGGTAGGGGTGGACGGAGGTGTACACCAAACAAAGAGAGAAACACCTAAACAATGCAAATGGCGGGCTTTCCCAACCTTCTTTTCCTTTTTTCGCTGTTCGCCCCTCCTTCTCTCCTGCTGTAGGAGGTAGAGTAACTCTGTCCGGTCGTGCTGCATCTTTTCACGGTAGGGACGCCCCTGTAATGAGAGATTGTGCATCCTACTTTTGAATAGGTAAATGTTTCACTATGTGATGCTCATCAACATTCTGTTGTTGTGACAAATTGGAATAGCTAGCTAGACTGGTTCCTTGCTCACCTTGTAAGTTACAATGTCGCCGTATCGTGACTGTAACTTTCGCAGTAGCTGTGAGAGCTTCCGCTCCAAGTCGTCCAAGACCTGTATGCAAAGTACGATTGGCTTAGCATAAGTCAGTGATTGTGGCTTTATGGAAGCACACAGCTAGCGTGTATGCTGCTACACCTTCGAGTGTGTACGGAGTTATATGTGCTACACATGATTTGAGGCAAGATCAAATCTTCTCAGTGTGTCTAAAACCTTACTACAAGTGGCTCTAGAAAAACTCGGAGCTCGTGATTTCTCTGAACCTACTGAGTGTATCTGCTTTCTTCTTTTTGCTTCGTGTAGACGAGACTCTGACGAACCATCTTTCCCTGCAATGAATAAACCTTATACCCATGTAGTAGCTCTTAAGTGCATTAAAGAATGCGTGCCTTTAGCAAAGAGGCGACTTGGATTAGAGGCAGACTTTTCAAAGGTAAGAAGGTCCTCCAATTTCTCCTCCCTCTCCTCAATCACAGTACATGCTCTCTCCCAGAGAGATAGTGCCTGTGTGTATGTATTGTATGGGGTGGAGCGATAGGAAAGTTCACTGTTTCTCAACATGTCAAATTTGATGTCACATGCCAGATGGAGTTCAACTGGATATATATAGTGAACTGTGGCTTGAAATGCACTAAACAAGCTATAAAGCAGAGGGGAATGAAAAGGGCTGTCTGTGTCTGACCTTCCTGGTGTGCATCTGGTACTTGTGAGTGCTGTACTTGGCAGCCATGTCCATAGTCTGCTCCTGTGAGAGGTGGAGACGACTCCACACTGCCCAGAACCTCTCCTGGATACTCTTCTGTGGCCCCTGTGGACAGACACAGGCACTGGCACTGGCATTGATAGTTCCC